CGTTTCAGTAACTGATTCCACCCGTTTGCTCTCTAAAAACGCTAAAATTATAAATTGCATTATATGAGGTCAAAAATTGATTATTTGTAAGTCATTTTACTTTATTCAACGACTTTCAGAGCGATGTTAGTAATAAAGTCTTCAGGTATGTAATTCGACGAGTACCACATAATGTCAATTTGTCAGTTTGGGCTCCGAATGCTTGGTATTTTGAAGATCAAAGCATGACGCAAAAGTTTTCCATTGAATTCCCTGCTTTTTCACTCAGTTTAGCGCATGTTCTGATTTGGTGCACGTTATTTTTCATCTCTAAAAGGTGAATTTTTTAACAAATATATGCAGTTACTTTTTGACTTCAATTTATTTTATAATCTGGTAGATAAAAATTTCTTAAAGATAAAATCATGTTGCTAGTAACTTTCCTGAGAAAATCTTTCACAGTATCTTAAACTTGATATCAGGTTCTTAATTTTTCCGTGTAATACTTATTAAATTGTTTTTATTTTTTGTAGTTTATTATTGCAAAATTGAGATTCAATAAATCAGTTGAAATAAGTAAATAAATTCTGTTTTTCCAAGATATGGTCCCAGTCCAGGATGGTTTTTATCGCGATTCTGCATCTTATTACCGCTAATGTTTTATGCTATTTTAATTTCTGGTTTGACAATATTTGGGTTTTCATTTGGCAAGACGAATGAACGAGAAATTTCACCCGAAGATGTGGAAAAATATCCATTTCAGTATTTCTCTGAAATTCATGTATGTTATTTATTTTCAACTCAAATTTGTTGTCTATATATCGATGTACGTCAAAATTTGCATCAGCAATCTTTACGGAAAATTAGGGTTTAGTTACAACTGCATAAGTTCTAGCAATTATTATTACTTGAGTAATATGATCTAAGTTTTTGCCCAAAATTAATATTTCAGAAAAAATTTTGATTTATCACAATTTTTTTCTCTTAAATATTAGAAATCATCAACGCAGATAAATCTTAGGGCGATTTTTAGGGTTTTTTCCGAACTACAGTTGCTCTAATGGATTATTCATCTGCGTTTACTGGTATTCTAATATTTGCATCAAGCCGAATACGTTCTGGAAATCTACCCATGAATGCGTTGGCACTTCTTACAGCTCAATTTGTATATTTTATATCTTTTCATACAAATTTAATTGTTAGTGATTGAAAATCGCCAACAATTCGTTTCTTTAAGAAGAAAAAAAGGAAAATTGTTATTGTTAATAATTAGAAAATGCTTTTTTCCATATTGGAGATTTTTTCATATAGAAAAAAATCATTTTCTAGTTATTAAAGATTAATTAAGTCACTGTATGAGACTAACATTATATTTTAATATATTACTGTATTAACAAAATCAAAATCAAACTAAATAAATTTTTCCATAACAAAAATTTTTTAAATCATGAGCAAATTCCTGGCAATAACAAATAAATGATGTGTAGAATTTCTGCAAACTATTTTTCGAAAAATAAGAGAAAAAGATATCATTTTCTGGTATCATAATTAATTGAATTCAGGTTGTTTTCAGCTACCTCCAGCGATATTATATGTAATAAAAGAGGGCTGTAATGGACATTTGGCGAAAATTCAACCTGCATATGATAGTTATGCAGCTACAGGTTTATTAATTATGCTCATCAAACATTTCCTTGAAATAACGTCTTCGTTGTATGTTGTTGTAAATCACTTTATACAGTTGTGTACTTCTTGCGACTGTGTTGAATTCATTGGGTTACGATTCACGATTTCACCTTAATTTCTTAATTCACATTAATTTTTACATGCATTTTCATGTCACTTTTAGGTATTTTTTCTCTCAAGTCGCTATTTCAGATCTTTGGTTTAGATTTCAAATTCTAATCTTATCTGAATTTTACTTTTTTAGTGGCCAGATTAAAGTAACTTTTAGATGAGACATTTTCCTTTGATACGGCTGCTGCATGTTTTGCTACAGTAACAGGCGGACCGATTTGGGCTATACTTTTTTATTCAGCAAATTTGATGTATAACTGCATTGGTCCTATGGTTTGTATGTTAATATTTATTTAGAGTATTTGTTTAATTGCAAAGGGATTTCAAAGGGAAGCATAGTAAATTTTAGAATCAAGATTATTCTTTTCAGTGAAACAATGCTTTTTGATAATAAATCATTTTCGTATGGTAAATTCAAAATCTGAAAAAATGACATGATGTTGTGTAGAACTGTCAGTGATTAGATTTTTTATGGTTTTATCATTGCCTCTTGATTAGTATTTTTTATTCTCTACAAAAAGACTTTTTGAGATAAAATAAAGCTTTGTAATTACTATTATTCATAAAACTAAGCAGTGCAATTTTAAATTGTGACTTGCGTTTATTAATCACATGGTATACTCATGTGTTACAAAAACTTTTTCAGGTGGTGCTTTTGCTGTTTATTTATAATTCATTTGCTGAGCAATTCGTGTTCGTGGAGCAGTTCAGGACATTTCTTTTGGCTTTGTTATGTACGGTATTTGCTGCAACGGGTCTTTTACTTTGCATGCCCGTAATTTTTACTTATTATTTTTAACATTTTGCAAATTTCTGGATCTGAAAAGCCTCACTAATCCAAATTATTACCAGATTTAATTACATTAATGTGAGTAATGGTTATTAACCTAGGAACAATAATGATGAATTTTAATCAGCAAGTTAGAGAAACTGTAATCGGAATGAAAAATTTCTGAACTCCTCTTCGCTTTTACAAAGATCAAAAATTTATTCTTCCTGTTTTTCAGATAATTGTGTATTTCATATAATTTATGATATGATTTTTATTGTCGCCATTTAAGTATTTTATATTAGATGGTTAAATTGTTTTTGCTCATATAAAGTAGGAAAAAATTCACATCGTGAATAAGTTTGTTTTCATGCATTTCATATAGTTAGTTCCACTTTTATCTTGCTTTTCTGCCTGAGAACGATAAAAGTGGAAAGAGATATTTGGTTAAGACTAGGTTGTAAAAGAAGTATAAATAATAATTTCTTATATAAAAATTATAATTACAGATGGGTACATCGTTCAGCACATTGTTACACTATGTTTCGCAGTCATCACTAACTCAGTTATTTTTGTTTATTGTTGTCTTCTTTGTATATGGTTAGTTACTTTTTTCGTGCCTTGATTTATCGTATTTTCAATATATAAAATTAGATTCAAAATAAAAATAATTTAATTTAATTGATTTGAATGAAAGAAGTGTTATCTGCTCCAAATTTGTGATTTAATACATATGAAAGAAGATATATGGTTGTTGAGAGCTTGTTTAATAAATTGACGTTGCTATGATCTCCAGTTTGTCTAAGCAAGTATTGATTAGTTGAGTATTGAGATTATATTATTGACACTGATATCAAATAAGGTAGATTTGGGAAGTTAATGAGCATTCCGATTTAAAACTTTAGATTACTATAAGTAAGAGTCTACTAGTTATGTGATAAAGCAAAGTATGTCTAGTCAACGTTAAATACTGCTTGTTAGAGCATTGTGTTTAATCCTTGTTTGTAAAAACGATGCATCTTAAGTTTAGTTTAGAAAAGTAACGTGAAGTACCTAACAATTTTTATACGTCGTTCTCAGAAGTAACAATCAAATTAAATATGAAGCATTGTGCCAAGTACGGTGTTTAGGATGGTACAATTTGGATACGGATGTACGGATAATGATAGATGCTGATCAGAATCATTCTATGCTTACATATTTGCTTGGAGTAACAAGCCCAGTATATACAGTACTATTATTCACAGCTGTACCGGCTTTATTGGTGGTTTGTCGCTTATTAATACTTTCAGTGATTATTGTCTATAAAATCATCTGACAATTCTTCTTATCACTGAAGAGGTTATGAGTGTTTAACATTTATTTCACCGTGCTGTTAATTTCAATATTTTACATTGCAGGCAAAATTAGTGAGTGTATTTGATTTGTTAATGACCGGAATGGATATTGAAAGACATATCGATTATGGGACCTCATTTATATCTTCATCAAAAACATTGAATCGATTTTTTGGATATCTGATATTACTTGGACCATCAGTTATCACTGGGATTTTTGCTATAGTTGCATTTTACGTTCATGTTATGCGATATAAAATGGTTCGTGATAGAAGATTTGATTTTTCAGTATCTAAAATACTGCCAACCATGGTAAAATTTAGATAAAAATGTCATTTTCACATTCTCGTAAATGCATTTACTTGCTGCGTTACGTTCGCTGTATTACTCACAATGTAATGAAAGTAAGCTCAAAATACCTCTAATAGTTAAATAATGTTTTAGATCAGTATAAAAATAGTATATGTTCGTGAAACTATGAGTATTTAATTTATGACAACAATTTTTCGATAGTAATGTGTTTATAAATTAGTATGGAATGAACTACAACCTGTGACTTATTTTAGCCTTGGGGTTCAATTATGGATGCAACTGCTGATTGGATTTCGCATACTTCACTTAGACAGGTTAGGAATCGGTTTACATTTTTTATTTTCATAAAATTTTATTTCAAGTTCCACTATTACTAATTTTTGCTAATAAGTCAGTTTATATTGTTAGGTTTTTTTTTAAAAAGGTTATGAGAAATGCAATGAAAAGTGATTTAGTTATCAAATAAAGTTGTAAAAAATTCGTGACTAGACAGTAACTTTGCATAATCATTATAAAGCTTCCGTGAATTGCTTCTAAAAATGATAAGAATGCGCAGTTTGATGGTAGTGCTGCTTGAAAAATATCTAATCGATGTAAACATGTTCTATTTTTCAACCATTTTAGGCAGTGAGCCCTAAACCAGCTCCGATCTCACATCGTATCTTCATCACATTGTTCAGTATTTCATATCGAACGGCTTTACGTGGAATATTTTTGATTGAAGTATTAATTGGCGTAATTTTATTCTTTCTGTTCATTGGGTTAGTTATGTTTTTGAATATAGTTTTTTAGTGACAATATAGTGTCATCAGAGATTTCATTGAAAGAGTACATGATGAGCTGAATTCAAGATTCTACTTTTTTGTTTTCCAAATACATTGAATCGGAGTTTCTGTTCTCGATAGCGAAATTTTTTAGTTAAGTTTTGCTGACGGAAAACGAATAAATGCGACAAAATATATAGAGAATTTTAGTTCTGCATAGATAGACGATCAAGTTTGAATTTCCCATTTATAATTCTGACGACTTAATGAGTTTTTAGTACTGAATTTAGATCTCATTTTCAGTAATACATTTTACATTCGTTTTGTTGGTGATGCAAATGCAGCAGTGGCAGGCAATTTTCGCACAATATTATTCCTTGGCCTTATCACCTTTCATATTTTGTCATTGATTGAGATGCGTTGGACATTAAAACGATGGGATCATTCATCAAGGTTTATTCCAAGCTTAAGTTTTATTTACTCACGAAGTCATGGAGTCACCATCACTAATCTTGGTTTCCACTTATTCATCATCGTAAAAATGAAGACTCTGCAAAGAAACTAAGTTTCGAGAAAATAGCATTAAAATAAGAAATGTGTCTGAAAGTTGGCCATGTGAAGTTTGTACAACTATGTAAAACTTATCAAAACTGTGTGCTTGTTTCGGTGATTCACCAGAAAAAAAATAGAACTGTTTGTTTCGGTGGTTTTTTTATTTTGCAGAATCATCCTCATAATTTAAAAGTTATTTTAATTATTGAACTCTGACCAGTATCTATTATTAGATACAGCTAGCGAAATAGAATTTATCGTTTGTTATGGATTTTTAGGGATTTTGATTTCAGATTGACTCTATGCATAGCCGTTACAACGATGGAAATGGCATTTTTGAATGGTTATATGTGGGTCGCTGCAGTCAATCATTCTTGGGGCTTGAATTACCAACCCTTCCTAGTAATTTTTGTAAATACAATCATCCGAGGAGTCCTACTTTCTATTTTGATAGCGGTTCGTTGGAACATTACGGAAATGTCTCACCCAACTCGTACTCGCGACGCTACTGAAATTTACGATGCAACTGCTGATTTAGATAATGACGTGGATCATGAAGAAGGTGGTGTACCAACTATTTACGAAATGCGACGTGACGTTTTCACGTAAATGCTTCTATGCATGATGCATCGTTTCATCGATGGCTTTATAAACATCCAAACAAAGAAATTGTTGTGGTGTTGAGCTGACTTTATTGATTTGTTGTAATTACGGTTTTTTAATAATAAATTTGTCATTATACGAGTCTTAAAAAAAACAAGTGTCACATACTTGAAAATATATCGCAGTATTCTCTGTATTCCTGTAATTTTCTTTCAGGTGGAAAGAATCCACATTAATATTTCGCTTCATTTTATCTCTTCTTCATGTCAATTCGAACTTAAAATTTCACCCATACTTTGTTCTTCGCTATAGAACTCACCAAATATTATGTTAGGAAATGTTTCCGTAAAATAATATTTGCCAAAAATTTTAAAGTAGTGCTTTAGGCTGTTTTCAGCATTTCAAGTTTAGTTTTGTGATGTCTCGAGCTCGTTAAGTTTCATTAATTCTTTTCAGCTTTATTTTGTACTATTCGCCTAGCACTTTACTGTATTTTTTTGTGAATAAAAAAGTTAGTTACATATTTATATATTTGTACAGAACCTTGAGTACTTAAGTTAGAGAAATGTTTCAACAAGATAATAATCAACGTATCGGTTGTATACTCATTGTTGCATTCTCTTCAGCAATACTGTTATGGTGCAGACATAAATGTGTATTTTTGGCAGCATGGTGGAGAAACATGTTAGGTAAAATGAATAACAAATGGAAAGCAATACTAATTGGTAGTAACAGGTCTGAAAATAAGAATGTTAATTACATGAGTAGGAAAAATATGAGCAACTATAATCTATAATCCAGCATGATGCGCAATTACTATTTCCGTTTTTTGGAAGTTGTGAGATTTGTTCCACTGCTGCATGCGTTTGTGGTCTTGAAAAGAATGATTGCAAAAGTTCATAACGAATCGATACGCCCATTTCTGCTGTCAATAGCATACTCTTGCAGTTGTGGGTTTGTTTGTTCGTGTAGACAGGTCTGCCATAATTCGTTTTTATGTTTCGTAAGTCAGTGATTAATAAAATCTTGCATTCATTCAATGAAAGGTTGTGCAGATAACATGGATGGATGTTAAGGAATTGATCTATTCGCATTGTTTGTTACTCATTTTTTAAGTATTAATGTAAGTCTAATAAAGATTAATCAGTTATTGACTATTTCTTTATTGACTCATCTAGTCTGTCATGTATATACTTGTGTTTGAAGTTATTTGTGAAAGCAGTTATTCATTACCATATGAATTAAGGAGCAGTTGTTTTCTCTTATTTGTTACATTATTTATTTTACAGTTTTAATGATTTATAGATACAGAATTATTCAGATAATCAATATCTACTTTTTCTTATTTTGCCACTTTCAGTTTTTCATTAGAAACGATACTAACTTTTGTATTTGTATGATTTAATTTATCGGTAAGTGCATTCATTATTAACGAGATGTTCGTTCATTAATCGACTATGCAATCGATTGATTGATTGGTTTGAATCAGTCAAAATTATGGCTGTATTATTTAATAGAAAAATGCTTGGTGAATTTCATGAGTGGTTTTTTGTAGCCTACTGTTTCCCTAATTTTAATTCCAAATGTTTTGCCATTTCCTTAAAAAGTGCACTACATTTTTGCTAAGGAATCGCAAATATTGGAGTTACCTTGTTTCATTATCAGCCTAATATTTGTGAAATTTATCCCAACTTTTTAAATTTTGATTGTGAAGTTGGCATCAAAATTCAATTAAGGATGTTATACGGCCAATGCTTTAATTTTCAAAATGTTATAAAAACTTGCGCTATTTATGGGTCTGCATATCATAGATTTTGATATTTTGAGAATGTATCATTCGCAATTTCGTTAGCACGCAACTTCAGAATTGCGTAACTGAGATACTTTGATAGGCTCATCCTTAATATGTGAATAAACTTTCACGTTCTTGTTCTAATATTAAGATAGAAAGTTTCGCTAGTCTATCATAAAAAGTTGGTGATGATATCCAATCAATGATTATAACTAATTCATAGCAGCATTTTTCAGTGGGAATCGTCTTCTGGCATTACATTCGGCGTTACCGTGTCAGAGAAGTTATATATCTTGTCACTTTTATAAACAACTGTTTCTTCACCTTTCAGATCTCTTTCGAATAATGTTTACTGGCGATCCATTTGGCATGTTTGGGTAAGTGTATTTGCATACTAGTGTGAGTTGAGGGTATGCCAAAACTTCCTTATGTTTTGTTTTTAATTATTGAAAGCATTCGTTTCGTCTTTACATAGGAACACGTCATTTCTGTAATTTCTGGGTTTCTGTACCTATGTAGTTTCAGCTGTTGTTTTCGAAGTTTTGCTTGAGTGAAGTGTTTCTTTCCGAACGCTTTGCACACTACTCTCTCATAATTTTGTTATTACCATGTATAGATTTTTCCTTTACTTAGTGCTAGTGATCGTTGGTATTCATATCTGTTCATTACGAATTTATGAAGCTATTGATGTCAGTTTCTTCAAGTTCTTGTTTTAAACTACTTTTCTATAAAGACGGGATAAACCAGATGTTCCTTATCAGCCTTTTGCTAGAGTCTGTGTATCAAACTTTCCAGTTTACTAATCATTTGTGATTATTGAAATAATTAGCGAAAAATTAAAGTAAATGTTTGTTAATAAGTGCAGATGGTACCGCATCAACTATTTGTCTTTCTACAGTGCGGTAAAATATTAAATTAGGTGCAGAAAGTTAAATTGTTCTCAATGCATTACTGTTATAAACGAAAAATCGTTAATGATCAACTGCTGCAACAGATTATCAGTAAACTTTTTCTGGTGCAATCCTGATCACTTTGCAGTTTGATTGTGTTAGGCGTTCTACATTTAGAAGGTCTGTGTACATGTCTGCACCGTGAAGCTGATGTTGGAATAGCTTGTCCCACTTCCTCCAATCAAGAATCATTGTCATTCCTCACTTATTGTTATCATGCATGTTTTTAGTTCTTCCAGGCGTCTCATCGATATTGCACTCACTTTCACACTATTCCTACATCTCTCGGAGCATTTTGCTATCTGTCCTTTTAGCACTGTCACTATTCATTATAAGGATTGTTTCTCAGTGGGTGCTTTGAGCTATATATTTTACTGTGTCCTAAACTAGCACGATTTTATTTTATTCCAACTTCTATACTTGTTAAAAATGCAAGAGAAAGAAGAGCATGAGGGCGACAAATCCGCTACTTTCAACTCTTTCAATTCGCATGAGATGTAGCAAATCTCAATAAGCAGGAATTATTGATGGCACTAAATGAAATTTAGCTGTGGAGTTCTTAATGTCATTCTGCAATTTTTTGTGGAAGTTTTGTGATGAGGAAAAATGTTTTAGTGATTAATTTGAATTTACGTTGATGTAAATAAAAGATGAAAATGTGATGCATTCTGCATTTATCTTTAATCGCTTACAAGTGAATGGACGATCGGAAACGCGGGCACAGGTCACATCGGCAACAGTTAGCTTGGTTTAGTTAAATAGTTTGTAGGAGGAGTGAAATTTTCAAGCATAGTACGACTTTCTGCGTTTGTTTTGATCTCTTCTCTCTGTCTAATTGCTTCTATATCTAATTTCACTGTATCCATGCTTCTTTCCCTAAATAAAACTAATGTTTCATATATCATAGTCTCCCATTCTCACACTTTTCTTCATCAACTATTGTTACTCAGTACATTCATCTTTTGTCACTAACCGTTTGTTACTGCATTACTTCTTTGGACTATAGTTGCTTAAAACTAGTCTATGCAGTTCAAATAAGAAGCCAAATTAAGTAGATAACGTCATGGGGAATATCTCTTAAGTAGGAGGAAGTTGGATAAATTATATATATATATATTTATAATGGAAAACAAGTGATGTTGAAGATGTATGTAGCATTTTTAAAAAAATGGCATTTTAACATGGAATTAACACCAGTTTTGCATTACTCTCTTTTAGAAATATTCATAATCAAATGAGACATCAAATGCGAGAAATGGATCAGATGATGAATAGCTTGATGGATCCATTTGGAATGTTCAATCGACATAGTATGATTGGAGGTTAGTTTCAGCAGATATATTGTGTTATGCATGCTGTTTTCTTTTCTTGTGAAGTTTTTTAAAATATTGTTATGTTATCGCATTGCGGCAGTAATACATCAAAAAGAATTCCATCTCATTTTGTTCTTGAGGTTTTACGGAAAAGTTATAGTTAAATTCAGTCGCTCGTGCAGTAAGTCACTAGCTGATCAATTTGCCGAGCACAAATTTCTATCTTCACAAATTTTATTCGTTTTTTGTCTATCGACTTTTGCTGCTCTGGACGTTTAGAAATATTTGTTATGTTTTTCATCGTTTATTTCAAAACTAATTTCTTGCTCTAAAAACTTGTTGTAATTTACTTGCTAGAATTTTCACTAATGAATGAAATCCTCACCATGAATTTGTCGCTGTACATTTATTTCATTAAAATTTTATTTTTTAACGTGGTATAAATTATATCAAGGAATGCTGGAAGACACACCACGAACACAGTCAGGTCACCGTGACGATATGGCGTTGATGTCTCCTTTTGGTGGCTTTGGAGGCGGATTATTTGGTGGTATCATGCGACAAATGGTTAGAGATCATAATTATCACTAAAAGCTTTTTTTGTTTTAAATTCTATTCCTCTGATTAGTACTTTGCTTTGCATTTAGTAGACATGTGTCATTTCTTCAAAGTAAGACTGGATGTAGTTAGAATTATGACATGAAGTTTTAGGAAGATATGCAAACCCAAGCAATGAATGATCCTAATTCACTTGTCTTTTCACATTCTACCATGATTACCTATGATGGAAGAAATGGTGGGCAACCACGAGTTGTTGAAAAATCGATTCGTAAGACTGGTGATGTGCAGGAGACACGGTATTGGTTGTAATTCATTTTCGTCGACAGTACTTTCAAAATACGTGCATCATATTGATTACGTTTGTTCCATTTTAATAAGAAAAAGATTGATGCAAGTTAGCAGCTGTTTGACAAGCTAATTGATGATATGTTTCACTGAATTGTAGGTCTCAAAGATTTGATCAGAAATATTAATTGGTGGAAATAATTTATTAACATTTCATAATTGTTGTTCAGGCATGCAGTCCGAACGGGTCAAGATGGTGTTGGAGATAAACTTACCATTGGTCACACAATAGGCGATCGAACTCATGTCATAGAGAAGAAACGTGATCGGGATGGCCGGATCCGAGAGCGACAGAGCTTCGTAAATCTTGATCAAGGTATGCATAAATATGTATTATTGTTATATCATTATATAAGGAATTATCTCCATTATGTATCTCATCTCTGCCTGAGTTTATGTCAACCAGTGATGCCAACCTCCATCACGAGTACTTGTAGCTTCTTGTCGTACACCAGGATTCTTCTCCCGCCTTGTGTATCTTCATAGCTTTATGCCATCTGGAGCTGCCTTGCAAGATCAGGCATTGATTTAGGGAGATTCTGTCCGGCATATTCACCCGCCATTTAGTTTACCACTCCAAGTATAAGCGGGTCAACCTTCTCCGATGTTATTTTTCGCGTCCACTTTGTCTGGTTTATTTCACATTTCTAGGCCTCTTGCATCAGTACAAGACACTTCTGTTTTACGTCTAAATAAACCTTAGACTCATCCAACGTGTTTTGTGTTCTGATAATCTCTTTGATTCCTCCAAGAATATCCTGTAAGCACGGTCGGGCTGCAGTACTCGTATTCACGGAATTTGCTTGCTTCTTTAGTTCTTCGAGAGTAATTGCACACAAGAACTCGCTATACAGGGAACGGCACAAAGGCTATTCCCTCTCTCAGCGTCCTCCCAAAACGGCCAAGAACCGGCTCCAGCACTTCCTTCGGCCAGCTGCTCTGCAGAACGTCAATCCTTCGAATGAGTACTTCAAGCGTAATCATACACTGCCAGAGTGCTCTCTTACAACCTTCACGGAGTTTTTCACAATCTCATCAATCTTCTCACTGTTCCATACTATGATTCCAGATGTGGTTTTTCTCCGTTTATCTTCCATTTTTTTCTCAGACTTCTGATATCCAGATTGTAAAACAATACAGTATCCTTTTAGGTTTCGAACTCTTTTTGCAACACTCTTTCTTCCTTTCTATTCATCCCGATGTTCATCATTCTTTTTACCTTCTTATCTTGTTTCGTCTTCGTTCCTACAGAAGTTGTCAGAATAATTCTTCTATTATATGTCAAAAAATTCAGTGACAATGCTTGCACCGTGGAATGCCTTTTTAAGATAATTTTCAATGTTATCTGAATGCTTCTCGAACAAAACTATAACAGCGATGATATTGCAGATGATAATGATAATAAGATTGATGACGAATGTGATGATATTTCTTGAACTGTTGTTTTCCAAGTGTGATGAAAATCACACCTAGGAAAAAATCTGGGAATAAGCTGCTTCTACAAAACTTGGGTTATTAAACCTGTAGCTGGAAGGAACTTAACAGTAGTAAACCCGCCTAATTACTAATTCGAATCATGTTTTTTTATAGTGCAATGTGTATTTGAATTTCTGACTTTAATTTAAATGTGACTTAGTTATTCTCTCAAAGGAAGTGCAGATCATTTGTTAATATGCCGTATAGCATTGAATTTGGCTTTGAAAAAAGTTTTAGATGAGGCCGAAGAATTTGATCGGGAATTCGCTAGCCGTGCACGACGTAATATGACTGGAAATCGAAATGATGGCCATAGTGTCCGTGCAATTGAAAATGGTAATTATGGAAGTGCGTCATCTAACAGGAACCGTCATGTTAGTTGTATATTCTATATATCCATCCATTTCTTTTTCGTGTAACAATTGTTCCTTGGTTTATTTTTGGTATTGAGTTTAGTTGAAATAATAAATTACTGCACAGATACGATGAATGAAAATAATTGAGACTTGCAGGTACCGCGTGTTGGTGGCATGAATGGACCAATTATTACTCTTCCAGATGAAGATGATATTGATGCTGCTGACGATGATTATAGTAGAGGAAAAAGGTTAGCCTTTGTTATATGTTGGTTTCATGCGTTCTACCATCCTACCGCTGACTGCTATCAAGGAGTATTTTCCAAGAGTGTTAGCAGTAAAATATCATTTTTATGGCTTTTATCTAAAGACCTTTTTCTCAGGTCCAATACACGATCTGCTGCTCCTGGTGGTCCGGTTATACGTGAAGTAACTGATGACGAGGACGACGGTGGTAATCATAAACGGCGAAAGGGTATTTCTGGAAGACTTTTCAGAGCAAATGATGAGTGAACAGTATAAAGAAGGGGTGAAGACATCGTCATGATTAAAAACATATTAGTCTACTTTTATTGTGAATGTGCTACCTTTGTAAAATGGCACGTAAGTAGAACGGCACATGAGATTCCATCTATCACCCCATTATTTGTGTCCACATTAGATTTTCTATATTACTACATCTCTTATATTTTCTGTGGCTCTGCAGTCTGTCCTGTCAAAGAACGTTAATTTTTGTCGCTGACCAATACCCCCATATATGCCCTTTTATTTTGTATGGTTATAAAGCAACTTCGAAAAATCCCCCCTTCTAAGATGACTGCGGGTCCACCTCCCAAACTTTTTCCTGATAGCAAAATATCTATCTATATCCCATATGAAACGTAAGTTGTCTTTTATCTTTTGTATTCTTTATGGTCATAAACAAGTTCCCCGGAAAATTTATAAATTATTACAAGGTTCTAAGACCAAAATATATTCCTATTTGTTCAAAGGGAACCCTGGAAATCCGACACACTTTAAGCTGATTTGCACGTCCCATCTAATGCAAGAACTATTTCTTCCATGATATCTTTATTCGTGCATTTGCAACAAATACAAAACATTCTGGTGTAATCTGGCAGTGAGATAGGATCACACAGCAACTGAACAGTTATGTAAATTTCATTCTAACAGTCATATTCTATCCCAGTAGTAATTTGCCTTGCACATTAGCCACAAATTCCTTGAAACGATTATGGAAGTCACTTTCCGTACCTGGATTACGCGTCCAGTTTTGAGCGACTAATGCATCGAATGCGCTCTTCAACTGTATCTTAGCACTATAATTTTCGTATCCTCCGTAAGACAGCACTTCATTCACAAAGCAGAGGAAAGTGAACTGAAAAAATAAGGCATCAACATAAAGCACAGATTATTCAAAGTTATATTGCAATGGACGTTTAGTTATACTTCATTGCAGAGCATCAAGGAATAGAGTGCAGATGTTATTTTAGTGTTCTCGTCACATCCCCAATTTGTGTTGAGGCTCATCATAAACGTAGGCTGTAAAAGAGATGTATAAGAATGTAAATTGTATTCATGTCATTCTTGGTACGGGATATAAGGGCCACACGGTTTCTGGGATAAAAGAAAAGTGAGAAAATATGGAAGTATCATTACTCTGATAAGACGAGCTAAGCACATGATGGATCTCTCATATTCAAGATGTTCGCTCAAAAATATGCCGAGATGTTTGATTGTTTGTGCTGCCAAATTGAAGATCTGGAATTGGCATACTCAATTGAGATAGTATGGTATGTTTGGAATGACAGGTCGCTTCCAATAAATAAAATTTAAAATCGAAAATCAATTTTTATTTTATACAGATGGATTAAGTATAATCAACATAGGCTTCAAAAGCTCATATTTGATGATAGAGAAATGACTAGACCTTAATATCGAAAGGTTTTCTTTTTTTGCATACAAAATAATCCATCTGTCTCTGATACTGGAGGCCAGATTCTAAATGTTCGATAACGCACAAAAACTTGTTTTCATCAAAGTCGACGATATACTCTGGACCAACAGCAGCTGAACATTCGAGAAATTGATAGAAACTAAAATCACAAACATGTGTATAAACACACTACATTATAAATGGAGTGTTATAATCCTACACAAAAAACGATTTATTGCTCGCTTAGTGCAATAATAGAAAGCATACAGTTCATAAAATGATGAGCACTGACGCCCACTGTCCAGTATAAGGAATAAACTTTTCCAGGTACTTCTTATGATTTGCAAACAATGTTTAAATAGTAACTGCTTACCTGAAAACATTCTAAATGTAGCGATGACTTGCAAAACATTATTATTTGATGTTGAACCAAACTCTTATAAATGCACAAAGAAAAACTAACCACTGCTTGTAACCGATATATTCTCTGCACTTAAAAGATTTATATTGACTTTCAACAAAGTATTCAAGCTAGTAATTCCCTCAGCTCTAGCAAAACATTCACCGGGTTTCAAATATGTTATTTGGTAAATCTTCATCAGCTCCAGGTGCATCTTGAAATAGAGAGTGAAGTCTCACAGGACTAAATAACATCTAAATTTCTCTACAACAATCATTATTACACAAGAATTGACTAAGAAAGGACTGATACCTGATAAATGAAAAGTACATTACTGAGATCATAATGATACAAATGAATTCGTCTTGTCATTTCATATAGAAGTTGAAGAAGTGAATTAAAAGTAGCAGTTGAAACTTGGACAGCAGCTAATGACAGTACTGACTGCTTTATAACTGACGATAAGTATCCTTAATGATAGTAGAACATAATTATAATTAATGAGTGATTTAATCTAAAAGGAGGAAAAGAATCTGCGTAATCCTTTTAATTGCCATTACTAAAGATATGCTCTAAAGCAAATATGATACCGAAGAAGAATTGTGCAGAAGAGAGAGTAACACTCTGAGCTATAACACGAAAGATATTTAATGAATTTTCAATATCTTTTTCGTTGCTTCCAATATTATGACAAAGCTTTGCATATTTTTCTTCTAAGGAACCGAAAATCTGAAAGTTGAGAAGCATCAAACATGTAGATAAATGACACAGCTAAAAATAGTGGAATTAACGGTAACACAACTGATTATTCCAACACATTGATGGCAATCAAAGGCAATGCTGAGAAATGGAACAATATATTAAACTTTAAAAAAAAGGGGCTTTAAAAGATAAACTATTGAGGTATAGGAATGAAACTAAGTGTAGAAAGAAAACAATTTATTAAGGACATGAATATTTGCGAATTTATGTAGAGGTACTAGGCAGCTTTTGCTTTTGATAAAAACAGATCCGATTGTTAAACTAAAATAGTCAAATCATCATAATATGCAATTTAAATCTCGTTTGGGTCCGAAGAATTTATTTCAAGGTAAAATCAACAATATCGATTCAATACTGAAAACTAACGATTAAATATAACTGTCGCTTGTTTGTCTCGCTTATCACCATGAAATATTTGACAATGACTTCAAACAATAGTTCATGTTCTGGCAACTGATCAATTGCTAATTCACTTAGATGTGTATGCAGCAAAGAATTTCTCGACATTTCGAGGGACCATACACGAGGTAAATTACCCAGAAGTTGCATTGCTTCCATACAAACTCTGAAAATGACACAAAAGTCAGTGCTCCAACATTAACAATGAAGGACCTATGATTAGCTATTCCATGTTTCATACAAATTTCAGTTGAATAGAATTAAAAAATTGAACCAAATTATTAACAATGTCATGTTTTCTATTTCCCAGCTGTACTAAACTTATACATTGTTCTGGCTGCTATGAAAAATGGTGTAAATATACAGATAGTACTGTCGATATACAATTCTTTTGAGAGCTTGTACGAGTTCAGAAAACTATGAAAAACACACTCTTTATGATTCGGTAGAAAATTGAGGATTCGAAAAGTTTTTTGTATCATAAAGTTCAGCAGCGGTTCTGAAAAACTCTTGCAAACTGAAACAAACTGATCAACTTCATCAGAGTTTCCATTGCCAACACTTGATCCGAGTGCTAATATTATTCGCTTTCCACAACATAATGAGGTAGTGCATAAACGAACATTAATAGCTTCTTCTCCGTGATCAAACAGAAGTTTATCCTCCAAAACAAACCATGCAAAAGTGTCACATATCATTCTAAAATCCCTACTTCTTTTAATATTATTTAGTGGATATCGTTATATTCTTAATAACAGTAAAAGATGGGTTGTGGAAGGCTACATCGATCTTTTTAATACATTTATAATGAAGATATTCCAAGACCAGTTTATTCGATTTTTTGTCCCAAAAGCAAGAAAAACAGATAGATCACTCCAGAAAACTTTTATGTTAAAAACTGCGCAACAAAAAAGCAAACAGTAAAAAAAGCCAACTTTATAGCTGAAGGAATACAGCTCTGTTCAGATACTGAAGTTGGATTTTCTAAGCACTGTCTCATATAATTTTCGTAAATATCCTGATCTAATCTCTTAATAGTCTTTTTCAAATATGTCACTATTCCCTCACGCCACGTAAAGTTATGGGTGTCATCCTCTTGAACAAGTGTATAACCTATTAAGAAATTAACATATGATTTGCTTTCAACAATTGAAAAAGTTGAACTCTCCATCCACGAATTTTATGAAATAATAAAATTCAAGTATGAATTATTTTGACAACAATTAAGCTCTCCACAACTGAAAATTCAAGATGCTGTCCCAGAGCGATTTGTGATAAATTCAAAATTCAAGCGATACATCAAGAAGACATGTCAGACAAGTCTACCTACGGCAAGCAATATCCAGTGAGTATCCTCGTACAACTGTTCCAATTCTTCCCCAGTCATTGGTTTCCATGAAAATCTCAGAGACTTCTCCAAAATTTTTCTCAGTAAGCTGAAAAGAATTGAAAATAACGATTTCATTTGTGAAACATATTAAAGAAAAGCAAAATAAGATTAAAAACAATTACAAATGAAAGAAATTCGCTAATACAGAAAACAAGAATCGCTTCAGAATGTAAATGTGAACATGAAATCATAATTGAAACATACCTGCTTAAATTATCCAATATATCACTGCAGAAAAACGAAATAAAACACCCAATTCTGTTTAAACATCCGTTGAAAATTTTTCGATCAAACGAAGCTACTGAAATCTGCAAAACATTTCAGTAATCGTTTGGATTTTTGACACCTTATCAAAAACATTATTTAAAATAACAAAAGCACCTCTAAATAGATACAAAACTTCACTGAGAAGACGATGACTCAGAAAATTTTGTGAAAAAAAAATGCAAATTTTCATTAAATACCTCATTTCGATGACCAAATGGTTCAGATAAAATGATGTCCATGAAGTAATCGATCAACTGAGCCGTCATGTCTTTTATTTTCAAGCACAAATCATCCCTGTTACTTTTGTAATTTTTAATGAATATCCACCAGACCTTATATAAATACTGCAAGCTGCTTACTAAACCCAATTTGAACCGTTTAACAGGCTCTTTACATGACTTTTCTTTCCTTTCTTGCTCCTCGTCTAAATTCTTTTTAGCTTTTTCAATCTGCTCAGTTCCTCTACCAATTTTTTTATTCGTATTCTTGCTGGTCTGCAAATTACAGATAGGTATTCGGGAACATCAAAGTGACATAAAATAAAGTGAAAACTTGAACCAGTTATTCTCATATTTTCGTTTATTAACTACGCAAGAGATTCTAGAATGATTAATATTTATATTTTGCGCAGTCTAACCAGAATTAAATTTAAATAAATGTGAATAAGATTTAAAGCCAACAAGCGACTAAAAAATATGTTATATCAGTACTATATCAGCAAGCGTAAGTGAAAAGTTTTTCATCAGAGAAAAAATGAGATCTATGAAAACACTGAATGATGCATCAGATTGAATATATCGAAAATCATGACTGCTTACGATACTGCATGCCAACATTGAAATATTATTATCCTCAAGCAAAGTTCGATCTCTAAAATTTTTGGGACATCTAGAAGTTTCTTTGAAATTCATTTAACAAGAAATTAACTGAATGAGGAATAAGAAATTTCCATTTTATAAAGAAAATGTTAACGAATATCAGTGAAAAGTTACTACATTTGTGATCATAACACAAACACGTGATCGTGAAATGTCTAATAATTTCAAAATATTTAAATTTCATAAATACGCTGCATTTTATTATGCTGACCAACATCAATGAAATGCAATTAATTTTGCAAAGGATGGAACTTTTTAAAAGTCCCTATGACTATTGCAATTAAGCCATTTTGAATAGAATTACATCAAAGGAATCCACAATACAGTCAATTTATAAGCTGTTTTGAAAAATGACTCTATCCCATAAAGTGAGCTCATCAGATATTCAGACTCGCACAGGTGACACGAATGAACGAATTATATTGAGTTATAAATAATGCAAGAAGTAGGCTATGTATTTTGACTATCAATATGTGTAGGATCAGTAACAAGTGAAAATAAACTTACATAGTGGAGAAAGAATAGCCGATAAAACATCTGAACACATTTTTGATGTAAGTAATGTATTTCTCTGAATCAAATTTAGATGATATGTTCTTATCAAAGACAGAAGTTGAAATTTTTGAAGAATCTTTCAACGACGAATTATCACTGAGATCACACAAGTCTCTTAAAGAGAATATCCTATTTAAACAATCAAATGAAAGCCGAAGAAGCGCTTTTTCGATCCGAACAGATTTACACAACTGAAAACTTTTAACTTGAAAAGAAGAGATACTGCAACGAAACCAAATTACTTGCACCAATTTAAAAGTGATAATAAAACAGAAGGAACTTGTAGCCACAAAAAAAATTTTACAAGAGTATTCAGCCAAATTATTTGTGAAGAGGAGCAAGCAAATCTTAGTAGATTATTTCTTGTGAAAACGAAATGAACACTTTGAAATACATATAGAACAAACAAAGAACCAACACTAACGTACCTTGAGGTGAGTTAACATGAAATCTGTCGAACATATTAAATTTCTTAAACTCACTGGAAAATCCCTCTCTGATGGATTCCTAGAGGAATATCTAGTAATTCCATACTTTCGACTTAAAATAAAATCTGACAACTGCAGGAATGGTGCGAGAGTACCGACCTGAAATTGCAAAAAACATTCTTAACAAATTGACAGCAAAAGTTATTTTCAGGAAAATTTGCTGATCAAAACGATGTATAAATATGCCTTATCAAGTAATATTTCCGAAAATTTGCAACGAATGCCTATTGGTTGCTTTACCTCTAGTCGTTGCAGTGTTAGATGTCAATTTGCATACAAAAACTAACAGAAACATATTCCGGAAATTGCTCAGTAGTCCCGTATGACAAGCAAGACATGATACATCGTTCGAATAACTCCATTAAAAATTTGGTCTAAAAAACTTCACTAGACAGATTCTAGAATAATTTAGAAATATTTTAACTGATGCCAAAAAATGACCTGCCGTTTAGATGAATCGTGAAAGAATAAATTTTTTTAAATTTTTTCCGTTTTCTTCTAAACTCACTCTCATTTAAAACTTGCAGTAGAACAGTTGATTTTTTCTATATGAATGATATATACTCATTTGATAAGTTAACTAGACAGTAAACTACAATTTAACTTGATCAAGTACAAGGTCAAATTGCATGGGGCATGAATACTACTTTCCGCCAACTATATCGCATTATTTCTGTTTGTAATCTTAACTTCTGTGTCAGTATCTGTTCCACAAAATGTCAATATTTCGTTTCGCAGATCACATCAACTGCACTCAGATCGATACAATTTTAAGTGACTTAACAAAATATAAATATATAATATTTAAATACTTTAAAATAAGTTGACGTCAGCTAATTCCCCTTAAAAATATTAGAGAGATTTCAAGACATTCGAAAACTTTCCCACTTAGCTCAACTTTTCTTTATAAGTTTTATTTCCTATTTCTCGAAAGACAAAATACGGAAACTAATACCTCAAACATGATTTTGGTCTGAAATTCAGCGTCAAAAGCAAAACCGGCACATGGTATGCTGCAGTCTTCATCAAATTCCTCCATAATGTATTTGACTGAATCAAACATTACTGCGCACTGAAAATGTATAGAAGGAAGCATTCAAACGCAACACAAATTTCCATCAATCCATAAATTATGAAAAAAAGTGAAAGCCAAAAAGAACACGAAGACAATGTATATCAATAAGGAATTGGACTCCACTTTTCACATGCTTTAGAACATAGCTACTTACCACCCAGATATGAGCGGATCTTATGTTCAACAAATTAATATTATTCATTAAATTATTGATATACAGTGAAGTAAAACATGAATATTGTATAATGAATAACAAACATTTCCAGCTGCTGATTTATCGAAAGCTAATAACAAAGGAAATGCATCTGTCAACTGATCTATTTCATTCAAATTACCATCCATCACCACGCGCTTATAAATTTTTGCAGATGCCTTCATCAATGCTGAGTATGCGAAAGAGTCTCTGATCAAAAAGTAGTCATTACACGTTAGGAATAACAGTGAACAATACTATCTATCAATTTGACAAAATCAGATTCTCCTAGCGCCTTTGCAAGAGTTTGTTTATAACAATCTCCATTAGCAAATCAGATATGATAACTTATATGCATAAGGGGTAAAATGTATGCCTACTCGTAACGATGACCAGATAATAACAAAAAGTAACAAAAAAATTCTTTTTTATTGTCTAACGACACCATTTTCCACCCTTCTAAAAGCCTCCAAACGATATTTTCAGCCATCGCAATCACAAGATCTTCACTGAAAGTCCGATCTGAAACAAAAATGAAAGACCTGATTTCAAAAAACTACAATAAAAATGCGAAAGATGCGATGCAAAAATGATAATTATTATTTGAATTATTCAAAATCTTCTCTTAAAATTAAAGAAGCAATATTTCTAACGACAAAAACAAAAGATTTCCAATCAGTTTTTAACATAGATCTTTTTATAAACAAAACCAGTAATATACGAGATTTTCAACTACACTGTATTAAGAATGACACACACTTTTAGTCTAAACGAATCCTTTTTCCATTCCGTAAATTAAAAAAAGTCAACATGAATATTGAAATATGTTTGTGTACTAACCTAGAACAATGCGGCAATGTCGGGGATGGAATAAAATACGAAATATGAAGAAAGCATTGTTTGCAAATATGCTATCCTCCAAGGATGAGTTGCATTCTGGCTGCAAAAATACAATCAAAAATGATTGGTGGAAATGAATATGCAACTAAGGATTTTATTTGGCAATCTACCCTTATACTCTCCTCACACATCACTACAATGAAGTGGTTCAGAAACATTCGTTCGTTAATGCTGGAGGAATGTACACTAAGTAATTATAGTGTACAATAATTAGATGATCACAGTCCACAAACAAATCTCGTCACTCAAAGCATAAATAAATAAACCGAATAAAGTTTCTTAGCCAGTTCTTCCATTTCTTTGATGCGATAGCTGAGTTCTGCATACATTTCGAGGGAAATAAGTGGGTTACTTGCATTGGCTGGAACCGACGTACCAGACATATTTGCGAGATCGAAGACATAAGTTTTTTTTTAAAACCTATAATTTCACTTCCTGCAAAAAATAAAAATAGTATAATTGAGATGAGAAGAACAAATTATTTCAGATGACTACAAGAAAACAATAAAACAAGAATATACTATACTGTCTTCTTAATCCAAAAGCCCAATAGTGCTGGCGCCTAATAAATATTTGCACAGTATGTGAACGTAAATGATCTTGATGGAGACAGGAAGTTTCTGGAAAAACATGAATAACTATGGACGATAACGAAATTTAACAAATTTCTGATAACTGATAACGGATGAATGAATATCAAACGATAGGAAAAAATACAAACTACAAAATAACAGCAGACGTGGAGAAATATAAAAGTTAAAATTACTATTCTTAACCATGATAAAAAGATACAAATTTTATTGGGTAACAAAATATCAGAAAGTTGGGAACGGTTAGAACAGATTGGTCAGTAAAAATTTTAACAATCCAGAAATGATCTATGATATTTTCTATGAGGGAATGCTAATTCAATCAATTTCTTGAAGACTCTGACTAGAAAAATACTAAGTAATTTATTAATATTTAAACTTGAAATAACATGATTTTCCATCGTCAAGCTTACAAATCATCTTCGGTTTGAAACATTATACGCTGGATATTGCAAAATAATCATTCCTGACCCCCAAAAAACTGACTGGATGAAAAAGTAGGAAAATAAAAATTTAACAATGCAGATGAATAAATTTAATTTCTGTAATACATCTTTTTAATACAACTGTTTAAAATAACTCATGTTAAGTGAATACAATAATGACACTATTATTACAACGTTTTATTCAACAACAAGTAAACCCTGAGCTTGACTCAAGAATTGTTCCAAACGATCACGAAAACCTCGTCTTTCTCGTCTCCCAACTTGAAGTTCTAAATTTTCAGGCAACAAAAGCTGGAAGGCCGGCTGCAAGACTGATTGGTAAGGACGATTTTCAACACGTAAAAGCAATTGCTTTACGTAGTTTTGAAAAACAGTCTGAAAAACAATAAGGTAATGGAGATTAGAATGATGGAAACAGCAGGTAAAAACAGTATTGATCTGTTGTACATTAAATCATCACAGTTTACGGAAATTACATGATCCAAGCAAAAAATAAAAAAAGTTTCTGTAAATGAAAATTTATACAGCAGAATTCAAAAAGAATCGATATTTGAATGAAAAGCGGAATAGTTCCTGCATTAGGTAGAACGACACACGAATCTACAAATATTTCTGTCTAATCTGGAAGCCTTAGAACTATATTAAAAACCTATCTAGAATAAAGAAATATAAATTCGAGAGGCATAAAAAACATTTTCTGAAACATTTGCTAGAAAAATGAATAAAAGAAACCTGATCACAACATAATAATGAAAATAAAGCTGCTGATGATGTGTTCTGTGAGTCCGATTGCCAAGAAGACATTAAGCAGAATTCAAAAGCTGGCTAAAAATTAAAGTTTCCATACCAATATTATGAAAAATGTATATAAAAAATGCAAACAAATGTCCAAAGAAGTGGAAACCAATCTCTAGAGAATTTCGCGAATATTAAACATGAATTGTAATGCTTCCCATGTTCTGATAAAAAAGGCATAAAAATAATAAACTAGATTTTAGAAAGCATACAACATCTCCAAGCACATTTCACTGATATGATGTGCCTATTTTCAGAATCATATCATGCTACAAATTCAATCAACAAACTGAGAGTACAGCCAAGCAATAATTAGCAAAAGTACACAATATTTCAAGAACCAAACACGATTACACGATTACATGAAAAAAATACTTCGAAAAGAGTAGTAAGGCGTGTAATGGCTAATTCATTTCTTGGGATATGTCGAGCATAAAACGAAGCAATTTCAGTCACTGCATCGGCAGAAATTAACGAAATCTAAATCCATTTAATTTTTGAATTGTCTGAGTAAAGGAAAAGATTAGATAAATGGGTAGTAACGAAGACTTGCACGTAATACCAATAAGTTTATATGAAAGATTCAAGATTTAACTATTTTAATGATGAAATAAAAGATAAGTGAAAATTTGCGACCTATGTCTGACTTTTAGAAAATGAATTTTTGAATATATCTTTGCCTCCGCACTCCGTTTTCACAAAACCATTCACTGAGTTTAAGTCCGAAAATAAGACGAAAACAAATGCATCAGAATCAGAACTTACAGCTTTTTAGACGCATCAAAATTCAGAATATAAAAAGAGTTCACCTCTTCACCAAATGTCGATCTTAATCCATGCTTCAGACATTCAACAATTGAAACAAGCAATACATCTGACAAATTTTCAAAATATTGCGGCGCCATTTGAGCGAGATAAAAGATAAAGCGATAAAACCTAAAAAGATCATAAATAAAAAGGAAATTTCCAACTCCGACTTTGATTCGCTATCATTTCAATAACAATCAAAAACAGACTTAATTTGCACGTCAAGCACATTCAAAACAAGCGGAAAAAATACTTTTTACATAAAATAGGCAATCTAAGTAAACCATCTTCCATTACGGGCAGCAACATTTCCAAAGCAGTTAATGCAACGTGTAAACCATTTTTATTGAGCTCAGCTTCCCCTAAACGTTCATTTACATCTGAATTCCAACATGACTAAAAATTATAACCAGCAAAAACAAAACAGTACTTAGCGAATAGAACTATTAATGTTATGCCAAAGAGAGTCATTGTTATTCCAATTTCAAAAAATTTAATGAAATGAACGAAAAGGTTACGACAATTTATTTCATTGAAGTCCAGAAAGACTGACCAGGCTTCCTCCATGCAACATCTCTATTCATTACATTAGCAAGGATATCCAGCAATATTACAAGATCTGATGCTTGTTCTTCTACATCAATATTCTCTACTTTATATCGAGTAAAAAAACCATCTCGATAAACTATGATGAGTGCTAGCAAGGCCTTAAAACTTGATAGATTTTCATGCTCAGAAATTTTTGAAATTAATGGCTGAAAACACTTGAAGATAAAAAACGTGATTAGTGACTGCTTTGCAGCATATTTTAGAAAACAGGCAAACAAGAATTGTGGAACAAATTCAAACAACATTAGGTTGTTATGACAAGAATGAGTTGAATAAAGTTACGGACACATCGCACAAAACCAATAAGTTACAAAAAAATTTCTATACACCGAGCTTAATTTAGAATTTAACGTAAAAAGCTTGCCATACTTCATAGATTGAAACCATATTATTTTGGTCCTGGTTATCAGCACCTGAGTACTTCGTAATATAGCAGAAAAGTTGCAAAACCGCATTGGTGAGAAGTTGAGAGTCTTTATGTGATGCTAGCAATTTGATGGAACATTTCAAAATAGGTGTCAAGTACTCTGAAACTGTGGATTACGATAAACTAATAGATGATTCCAAAAATTTAATTTGAGCTTTTAAGATGACTCCAATGAAGTCAGTAAAGTAAACGAAATTAATTATTCATACCATATAAAAAATTAGAGTAATAATTGTGAGCAGCTTCTGCAACACCGCCAAAACACTCTATCAAGTCAGCAAGATTCGTTTCCAAGCTTCCTGAATCTTCACTTAACACAATGTATCTTTGGCTAAGAGGTTTCAGAACCTGCAATTATATTAGATTAAACACTTAAATCTCAATGCATCACAGTTTTACACCAGTAATTTCGAAACAGTGAAGAAAAATCAGTGTACAAAATCAAATAATATAGAGAAAAGAAAAGCGTAAACGGAACTTAAATCTGTTTATTAATTTCTATATCATTTCTCTAATACAAAATATGTACAAAATAGACGCGACTAGCGCACTATATAGGAACATGATTCGATACATCATTTGATGCAAACAAAACAAGTTTGCATAATTTTTTGCACACAGACAAAAGTATTCTGATGTAAATTTAAAAAATATGGAGCACCCCATTGATGTGCTGTACTAACCACTTCATTTATAGAATTATATATAATTTCATCCCCGATTAATGCTCCCAATTCTACCAACATCTTAAGCAACGAATGACGAGCTGGCAGCTTTTCGATTTGTACTGCAGAAAGGCACGGAAATAAAAATCGACTGCTAGCTGCTTCAACGCAGCCATTTCGAACAACGCCAATAAGCAATTCAACAGCATCTAGACACAACCTGTATATTAAATAAATTTTATGACTACAGCACGAGTTAAAAAGTATGAGATCATGCGCAAATGATTTATTACTCGGTATTCCTATTTTAGTGGTTTAAAATCAAAAACAAGAAAAAGGTAGTGCATAACACCCATACTGGAAAAGTTGCGCAGTTCACTACTAGTTTTAAAACACAACGTTTGTTACAAGTAGTTGGAACTATGCTGGATTACAAATACAAGACACAAACAGTATTTGTCAAGAGTTATAATACTCTTACATTACTCGACTGCTATTTATTTTCACAATGTTATGAATTTGCAATGAAAATTGTAGCAGAAAAAACTTAAAACTAACTTTCGTTCTCCCGAAAGTCGATTCAGTACACCAAAGGATTTTTGCAAAGCAAAATCAACTACGGTTTGGGACACATTGCTTACTACACATGCTAAATTTTCACTTTCATCAGGATTCGAAACATGAGCATTCATAGCAACAATTAAACGCTTTGCACACCACAACGATGTACGAGCTAATTCTGGACTTATTGCTTCAGCACCTCGCTCAATTAATAGATTGTGCTCCAGAGAACACCACGCCAGAACCGCACCTACTACTCTATAAACAGTTATTATAAAAAAACAAATGCCTCTAATATTAAATCTAGCGGTATATTTTATGAAAACTTATGAAATCTGAAACATTTCCTGTCTTGTAAGACTTTTAATTCAAATCATCACCATATCTGTCAAATTAAATCCATATATATTATTAGTTCTTTTGATTGTTTTGACACTTGTATGAACAGAAGCATCTACTTTTGAAATTTTTTTTCTGCGACTTCTACACTTCCTACAATCTCATCCTTACAAATATTTGGTCATATTATATAAAATTTTTCAACTCCTACTTACTTTATGAAAGTATTGACTTGCTCTGAATCAATAATAGCATGTGGTGAAACAATGCAACTGTTTATGTATTCGATAGAACGATCGATATCTGAGATACCAACGTGAACTAATTCTTCAAAATATGCAACGACATCGTTTTGTAAAAGTGAACCACCGTCATCTTCCGCAACCGTCAATATGTATCTTAAAATTTCATCTTCATAATTTAGGTTTTCGAGAGATTCGTCATCAAAACCAAACAATGACAGAATCGTATATTTCAATGTTTTGGCAGATTGCTATTGACAGATCTCAGAGTAAAAATAACTTCCAGAAGCAATATCTTTACTTTTCACTGATAACTTGTAATGATTTATGTGAACCAATTAAAAATGAAGTGAATATTTAAGCTTTTGGTTCATCTATGTATTTTTTTTAATGTCCACTTTTCTAGACTTGCTAGAATGTTCAGCTTCAATTAATTTGCCATGAGCATTGAATAATGACATTACAATCAACGTCATTTGCTTTTAGTGCTCTTATCGAAAAAAATAATTTCCGACGACTAAAACAATGAAAAATAAAAGTCTAATTAATTTTACCAGCAAATTCCTAAAAACTCAAAACTACGATCAGTTCATGCCGATTCAAGCAATTAAATTAGTGCAATTATGGAGTGAAATAAAAGACTCTTTATATTAGCGTAGAATGGTTCTATGTAGCTAAATGTATTTCTAATGAATTAGAGAACAGACACTCCAAAGATTGAGATAATAACACATTTGTGTTAAACTTTAATAATTTACATCCCTGATGTGATAATTAAAACGAGATAATAATGAACTTATCAATTAAAATTAAAGTCCAATGCATATCTTCTCGCCATATACTCAGATTTTCATCACCAACATCTATTTCAATCAAAGATATAAACTGCTTCAGCTTTGCGAAAATGACTCTGCAAAAAAGAATTGTCGCAGTGATATTAGAGAAAAATGAAGTGAATTCCTACGGGATCAGTAATGATATCTGTATTTAATACAAAAATTCTCTCGAATCCGATGTAAAGATTTACTTTTTAAGGAGTAAACTTGTTAACTCAAGAAACATGAAATTTACGTGAACATGTATGGTAAGACATTAGCACAGTAGAATGAAGAAAACTGTCCAATCAGGTCCAGCAAATGTTGGAAAATTTCACGATCATCGTCAACCTTTTCTGCACCGCATTTTCGGACCGATAACTAAAAAGTGATACCACTTAAAAAAGTCTAACAATTGAAAAATTAGTAAATTTTTACAACTACATACGCCTGATTAATCAGGTATATGTATAGCATATTATAATAATTCAAATTTCCTTCATATTATCGCTCTTTTATAGATCTAATTCCACCCCACTAAATAATTTGCTTTCACTGATTCACGATTGACAAATGCAAACACAAACAATAAGTCAATATTTATTACAAAAAGAGCAGATACCTGTCCACGAGAACCAAATGGTTCTGAAAGAACGCTTCGTACAAAGGCTGCAACTATTCTCAAGGTAGAATCTTTAAAACCAATTGGGTCATCCAATGTAGTTACTATAATATTACTATTTCGCAATAATACCCACCAACCGTCATATATGCGTTTTAAAGCATCAACATAAGCAGTGTCGTCTTCTTTCTTAAAAAAATATGAAGGTAACAGTTTGATACATTTTATCAACAATTATAAAAAAAGTAGCTAGATCACCACGATAAAAAATTTACCCATACCAACATCACGATAAACTCAATACACCACAAAGATAAGTATTACATTCAACCTTAAAAATGAAGATTTAAGAGCAAAGTACTCAAATTTTAAAAAGAAACATTCTTCTTACTTCAATGACAGGGCTTCAAAAGTAACATACCAGAACTTTTTGTATAGCAATCGGCGTCAAATGTTCAGCACAACGAACAATAATGGATGAAAATATTGGCAATGACTTTTCTGCTCGCCGAAAAGAAATAATGCGATGATATGTTAAAAGTTTACCCACCATCATACAAAGGCCGAATATTTCGCTTTGTAAAGGGCCATCACTGAAAATGTAATTGTTATCCCGACTCATTTACATTGACTGCACCCAAAATAACATGTTCATGATGGCATAGTTTTTCTTAAGAGCTTTAATGCATTAATGATATAAATGTTCGTCCAAATTTGCGTAAAAACTATTATCATTACACACAAAACTCCAAACATAGAAAAATTTCAATTACCACTAAACGAGGCATCAATTCACTCTGATAATATACTCTAAAGCCACGAAATGAAAGCGAACAACTCTTAAAAGCGTAAGAATAAGAAACCCTGAAAATGTAAGAGGAGAAAAACTCTGATACAAAGTACCTGCCAAACAGATCAATAAAACCATCGACAAAATCCGAAATGTAGCGATCATGAGCACTTAATGGGCTTGCAGTATTGAAATGAACAAATTTTTGTGGATCGTGAGATACACTTTCACTAAGAACAGGCCCCATTAATGAAGATAACTGAACAAGACAATTCATCGAATAAGCACAAAAGTCTGCATTGTATCGAACTTTTTTGTGAAGCTAAATATTACGATGTTAAAAGCAGTGAATAAAGGGATTTTTAAAAAATTAATACCTGGTCATCTGAATTTTTAACGAATAAAATTTGTTCAGGAAACAAATAAAATGCAGAGCAAGCACTTACTATCAAATGCTCAATATAACTAAATGAAATGTACATATTTTTTAAATTATCAGTGCTTTCCAATTAAGAAACCAATTCACTACTTGGGACAATCCAACAATAATGGCATTGCACGAACCTCAAAAAAAAGACGTAAAATTTGATTTGACTGAAAAATTGGCTTCCATGACTGGGGTGGTCGAAATGTTGCAGAAGATGACCCTTCATTAGCAGAGCTGATTTTGAAAGGAAAACCATGGGCATCAAAGTCCCAAGAAAGAATCAGATCAACTACGCGAAGCAAATTCCCACATGTATTTATCTGAAATATCTTATCTAGTACAAAGCAAGCCTTATTCCTTTGCGAGATCTCATTAAAGCTCTTCAGAAATATAATAAATCCTCATGATAATAAAAATTTAAGAAATATAACTGCTTAAAAATTTCCGGCTGTTCCAAAGAAACAATCTTGATTCCACATGAAACAATGATCTGCTGGAATATAAAATGTATGCTAGGCGATTAGTTCTAATTTCAATACTACTGATGTTTAGACAATGTTTCAATTTTCATTTCGCTCAGAGGACCTTTTTCTTAACTATTTTCAAGAATTCAATCAAATACGGAGAATATTTCTTACTGAATCACATTCAATAGAACAATTAAACGATTACGCCCATTTTTAGACCGCAAGAAAGCGGCTAGAGAATAGATATCTTTTGTACATTCCTAAGTTGAATCTTTTGTAGAATATGTAAAAGATACATGATAGGATGAAGTGAGATCTGCAACGAAGACGAGATTAGAAAATGCAAGAATACATTTCTCGAAAAGTCGCTGTAAACTTCCATTCTGAAATACGTTAACATTAAAAAATTTATCTTACTTATCAGCATTAAATTTCATCTACATTCTTAAATGACGGTATCACAGAATGGATAAGTCAGTACTACTCATTTATCTAGCAATGATCAACACTTTCTAAGCACTGCTCAGATATCTGTTCAAACCCATGTTAAGATATCGACGTACAGTAAAAAAATTCAAAGACCGGATTAATGGTCTTTATTTTCGAACAAGTTTTTCTACTAAAAAACCAAAATGCACAGCGCGTGCTTTTGTAGAGAAAGTTAGAGGTATTGGAAACTACTAAAAATCAATTATTGTGGTGATTTTTGATTTTCTAACGTCGTGAACTATATAAATGTATGAATAACCTGCTTAAAACTTCAGAGTTTAAAATAAGATACCTCAAAAGCAAGCTTGGCTCTTTGATGGAAATCAAAAGTGATGCCAAGATTGGACGTCCTCCATGATGTTGCAAATTCATAAGTAATTGCTTCGATAAAATCGCATGCTACTGATTGCTGGAAACATTGGAAATCAATAAACTGAATTTAACGACCCATATTTAAACAGGATACTACACAGCTTTTGAAAAAAAATTTTTTATACATAAAAAAATGATATGTAACTTCTATATCCACACTTGATAATAAGATTCTGTTTTTTTGGTTTGAAAACAGCACAGAGAAAAGCAATAACTAACAAGTTGTTCATCTTCATTTGATAGCAAGAGATGAACCGTTTGATCAAGCAAATCAGCATCACAAGCTTTATTATCAAAAATTGATCGCTTAAATAATTTAGCACATGCTCGCAGCATTTCACATCGAATTAGTTTTGAAACCCTGAAAAAGATAATAGTTCCCACAGCAGGTAGTGAAAAGTGACGACAGTTGACCGGCTCAGTGTACTATATTATGTGCGAAATCCAGATTATTGAACACATGAACGAAATACTGTGGGGTTTTTAAAACCAAACAAGGAATAATTGCACAAAAACCAGATAAGGTAAATTTTAGTTGACGTTAACTCTATTCAGTTAAAAATGAGCACGACACAGCCCTTAAAAACAGAGAGAGCCAATTAGTATCATTATGCAGAAAAAAATTTGTGAAGACAATTTACGAGTGAGAAATTTGTAGGCTACACTTGATAATAAGATTCTGTTTTTTTGGTTTGAAAACAGCACAGAGAAAAGCAATAACTAACAAGTTATTCATCTTCATTTGATATTATCAAGTGTAGCCTCTAAGCCTTACTAAAATTCGGCTGAGGAGAGCCAATACAGGATAAACCTATTGTTGATAAATAGTTTTGCATGAGTACAATTAAATTTAAATATGGGCACTACATTCTTTATTCAAATAACAACAAAGATCCAACCTGAATTTTCCAGTAGCGTTTGCTACCAGATATTCAAAACAACGTCGAAAAATTGTTGTTTCTGATATGAACCAATGTTTGAAAAGGTTAGAAACCATAAGTTGAACCATTTCGAAAATAACGAATTCATTTGAGGTTGCTTCTGAAATATATATTTCTTAAACTGGAAGACGATTACGATACAGAGAGCATCACTGTTGATTCATATAATGAAATCAATTATAGCACATCTATATTTATTACTTTCTAAGGTCACATAAAACAGTCGATAGTGCATTGATAGATCTTAATAATAAAGAATTATAATGAAAATTGACCAATGATCAAACGACAGTAGTCCGGAGGCATTCCTCTATTTCGTATATTAAGGAAAAACTGCTCAGCAAATTTCCTGACATCTTGCGGGACATTTGGCGACTGAAAATTTTTTAATTTTTGGATCTGACTAATCTTAATGATTGATAAAATTGATCAATCTGAAAAAGGAATTCAACTGAAATCTTGAAGAACTAAATGCACAGCATGCTGCTACAGAAATTTTTTTCGATAAATATGATAATCCCATGTTTTTACACACAATTCAGTACCACATCCTATTCCTAATACTTCTACACATTACTAATCAGTTATATAAAAGTTTTCAAATATTCCGATGCATTCATTAATTTTGACGTTGTTTAAGATGAAACATAACTAAGCGCTAAGAATTTCTTCTTATTTTTATAAAACTACATGCCCATCAAGTTATAAACCGTAACGAACCATGAGCATATTCGCAGCTTCTTCCATCTGTGCCACATAATTTGAATTAAAATCGAGCGAAAAATTAGCATAACGATCCATACCTTACATAAGTCAGTAAATAGAACAAATTGAAATTAAAATCAAATTCACTTCCAACATTAATGCTTCACTCAGGCGACTAATTTCATAAGGATTTACTAAGAATTTAGATCAGCATCTATCGGTAATAAAATAGAAGACATGAAATATAAGAAGCAGGAGAAATTTAAACTGGAATTCCCTAAAAATTTTCAATGACTACATGCAATTTCCCCTCGCATATTACGCCAAATTTACCTAGTCAATTACTACTTTTCATCAATATTCATTTTATTTTGAACTTGTAGAAATAATGCAGCAACACAGTCTGAATAAATAATATATTAGTACGATATCATATTCGTTAAACTGAGTTCTATATTTCTATATTTTTAATTGCAAAAGTTTCAATCATTTCTACGTACAGTATGGATTTTCCATATGAGCTTTAAATTGACATAGAAATTTCAGTGATTCTTTATTCTTTGTCGAAATCTTACAACACGTTTGCACTGGTTAAACCGGAGAAAAAATGACAAACCGAAGTTTGATTAAATACGTTATCAACAAGAGGGAAACAAACACCCTAGTATTATCCATATATGTTAACAGATGATCCTTTCTCAACATCATCATACCTAAAAAAGCTCTTGAAACATTATCATTCCATATGCATAAACTTTAAACACATGCAGCCCCAGAGATAATTTCGATCAATTCCCGAGTAATGACCGACTGTCGTGTTCGATTGAGTGACATCGTAAGCTTATCAATCATTTCTCCTAAAATGCTCACATTAAATTTTTTTTGCTGATGTTACACTCCCACTAAATTAATGGAGTATAAAAAGAGATATTAATGATGCCATAAATTAAAAATTGTTAAAATGATTCCGGAAAGGAGAAGCATTTTTCTGCCAAAAATGAATACCATGTAGAACAATACCGCATACAATACACTTAAAATGATAGTCATATAAAGTAGAGCTATATTTGTAAAACTAATCATTTCCTAATAAGTTCTAGCATAACGTACCAGCATTCTTGCTAGCTGAATCCATGGCAGTCATACGAGAACTTTGCTCTGATGCTGCAGATTCTTTTAAAGCATAGTACAGCAACTGGGCTAATGAATAGTTAGCATAATCTAACAGGACAGCATCATCGACTGAATCATACAATGATATGGCTGATTTTTTCTGAAAAACTTTTGAAAAAATAATTTGACTACAATTCACAATCTTAAAAGACATCTTTAAAAAGGCTAGAATTAGTTCTCATACATGACCTAAATATACAGCATTCTTTTTAAAAAAGATTTGAGAAGCGAAATTGGAAGGAAACCTATGGAAAATTCACCAACCAAATTCCAAAACGTCGGAGAAATAATTTAATCCTAGCATAACTCTAAACTAATGAATTTAGGTTCCATCAAGTTTTAGCATCCATAGAAAAGAGTTAAAATACATCTGTTCCCATCGTAAAAACAGGAATCCCAGGAAAAAACAAGCATGAACTGAAGTTTTTAGAGCATTTCAAAAACGAACCATAATTGCATCTAGAGTAAACATTGGTATTACAGATGTTTTGTACGAAACGATACTTCTGAATTTATTGTACAGAATGAATCCCTGAAAAGAAACTGGAAAAAGGGATTCAGCATTAAAGCAATACCAGTTAATCACTGAAAAGATTCATCTAATTTCCACATAATGACTGAATGAAAGTGACATGGTTCATCCACTATTGGATCAAAAAAAATATTTCTTGAAAAAATTACGTAAATAACAAACGGACATGATGGGAACAACTCGTAACCTCGTCTTTTCGGCATTATATTCTTTAATTTATTCTTTCTTTCCAGTATCATTAAATGGTCTCGTAGTGATTAAACTACAACCACAATTTTTGTTTTCAACAGGGAACAAAACATTATTCCTCGAAAAGACTAAGAAATACAGAAACTAATAAATTCTAAAAAGGTATGCCAGCAAGAGACTCAGCATTCATAGATGTTTTTTTAAAAACTTTTTGATACATTCTGGAGCCCCACTGGAATAGTAAGATGTTTAAAAACCCATATTTTCTGTGTTATTAATATATTTTCCCACTAAAAAATTAAGAAAATGTATGCAACTGAGATAATTTATTACAAAATTAAGGATTTAGATCAAATATAGTTGTCATAGTTGTCATTTTAGTAGTTTATAGATTACAAAACGCCTTTCGGAGTTTTTATACAACACGCTTAGGAACGACAACCTTATCAAATTTGAAATCTGATGAAAGGATTTTAGCAGCTATAATTGAAGCATCTTCAAAAGTCGGTGGTAAACGGCCAATTTCATTGCATGAAAATAATACATGTCTAGCATAAAGTTGCTGCATAGCTGCTTTGGCTTTGTCGCCAACAAGAACAAGTTTGTACTCTGCTTCCAAATTTTTTTCTGCCAAAAGCCGCCTTGCTTCCTAAAAAACACTTCCCCTCTTCAAAGTTAAAAAAGTACAATATTCAGACTTAAAAAAGGTAGACAAACTATCAATTCCTTTACCCGATTCTTGAGTAACTAATGAATGGATGTGGATCTCAATAAAAAATGTTTTGGATAGTTAAATTATGAAATATGGAGTAAATTCATAAGAAGAAAGATTTAAAACCTTTGTGTAATTCCAAACTTCATGGAAAGAATTTAGAAAAAATAATCCCAAGAGTTTAAAGTATTTCAACCTTTGCAATAGATGAGTGAACAGCCCCACATAATCCTCGATCAGATGTAATTAGCACTAATAAGCGTTTTTCTTTATATTTTGAAGCAACAGTCGTTGTCTCACACTCGCCATTTATTTCCGAAACACCAATATTATCGTAGAATTTTAAGGCGCCCATACCATAAACCCGGGCACCCTAAGTTTTGACATAAAGCTAGATGGAAATATATTTTGAAAATGACATGGCATAGAGATATTTGAAAATAACATCTACTCTTCAAACAGACAGAATCTTAAGTAAAAACTAGTAAACATAACTACGGTTAAAATAACTTCGAGAAATAGAAATATTTCTGATGAATACCCGTAATTCACGTTCTGCCTTGTTGTACTTGGCAGCTGATACCATCTTCATGCTTTTTGTAATTTTCTGTATATTTCGCACAGATTTCAGACGAATTGAAATATCCTTAAGCGTTGCAAATCCACGAAGCTGTCCAAGTGCAGTGAATCCAACCGGAATTTGAGACAACTTGGCAGCAAACATTTTGTGTGCAAAAATAAAAGACAAATGAAAAAGACATTTTTTGTTGCAAAGTACAATTTATTAGGAGCTATAACAAACTGAAGATTTAGCTTAATATCCCTTATTATGACTAAAAGATTCACTCATATTGTTTAAAAAATTGCTTCTTCACGACCAACAACCATTATTATACTTCAATTTTCAGCATTATTCTAATGCTAGTATGAGTACTATTATTTTTGATTCATATTCAAAAGATTTTAGTACCATCGCACTTTTGCTTCATCAATCAGTTACACATTATAACTGATACATTATACTTAGCCTCCTCAAGATCCAGATAAAGAACTTCAACCAGACCCGAGTAAAGGGAATATCAACAGAAATAAATAAGTAAGTACACATTATCTGCTCAGCTAACCACTTCCTAACTTTTGAACATTCAGACCACCATAATCTATATCACGTTGATGGTAAACTATGCATGTCTTTATATCTCATATATTCGCATACTCTTACCACTATCACGCATATTTAATTCTGGTATACGATGATAGTAGACGCACGGATCACTGAAGAATTTATGAACTTAATGAGTCAATAATTAATTTACATACATACATATGTCTACGGAAAGTACTTAAGTAACTTACAGGTTGAATAAGTAACGTAACTGCAGGCTGCACATGATTATGCTAACTTCACACTGATGACAAACTATATGAAAATCATAGAAAAATATATTGAATGAATTTTGCATTTTCAATCACATAATTTTTACTCTGCACTTTAATTTCTGTTATAGCCCTACAAATATGTCATCTAAAAAGAACAATTTTGAGAGTTATAAAATGAATTAAGCTGGACTCTCTTTTAAAGATAAATTTTTGAAGTTGATGGCTATGGTTTTTTTTTTTAACATTAGAATTTTAAAAAGTCAGCTTTGCTGTATTTTTTATTCCATGTTTCAATATTTTTCTGGACATATTTGGATCTCAGCACAAAATTTGTACTAAACAGTATTGTTAGTAGTTTTTAATTGTACTAGGACTTCCATCAGGTGATCAACAATAACTTAGAAGAAAAACGATATTTTTACTGTAATTGCAATATACAATATCCATGACATAAAGTTGAGGTCATAAAAATAGACTTATATTACATTCCCATCAAATTTAACAGCGTTATATTTGTATAAAACTCTTAGAGCAAAATGATGATGAAAATTAGTTTGATATCACAACGTCAACGGTTAACAAATAATTTTGCAAAATTTGATGCTTTCATTTAATTTTGTCATGTAATCCCTTTCAAGATAGTAAATGCAATTGGACATTAATATAATGCATTAGGGACAAATTAACGGACTTCTAATTATATTAAAAACAAAGGTTGTGATAACAATTTATTTTTGAATTATAAATATTAAAAATACTTCTGTAGAGTTCCAACGACATGATAAAACTAGGCATGCAAGCTAGGATTAAAACAAATGATACCAATTTCTTGAGTTAAAATTGTGAATTATTCAATCTGTCAAATTCATTCAACTATTTTACTTTGCTATCACATTACTTAGAAAGTTATTTAAATGAATGAAGCAAAATAATAAAAAATGTGTGTTTAGTTGACTTAGAATAATGGTAATTATACTTAATTTGTAAGCCATAACTGCAAGGCACGTATGCTCTGTTTAAAATGTTGAAATTTTAGTTGTGAGCTGAAGCATTTAACGGATTGAAATCCAGTGCTTACATTTGCTTTAGTGATTACTTACTGCAAAAAAATGATTATTAAATGCTTAATTGAATAATTATATCGCTCTTCTCGCATTCCTGTGCAAAAGTCAAAACGTGCGAATCAATTAACATGCATTAAAAATTGATGCATATTTATTTTTTGTTTCAACTTATCTCTGAAAGTCTAGAATATTTCTTCTGCATTTTCTGCTCAGATCACACCTACCATACCTGTCATACCTATAAGTATAATGTATAATTATAGTTACTGTCATTGTTTTATTCATATTTACAACTATTGTATCAATTTTTTTCCATTTTCTGCTTTTTCATTTATCACGAATTCTAAATTTATTGCTGAATTAACAGCAATTTTGAATGTATCTTTTTAACTACAATTCTCAACGTGATATGTGAGAAAGAAAGTACAGCTATCTTGTTTTTTGGTCAATTGGACTTTTGGAAATTTTTCTTCAGCGAATGAAAAGCAAAATTTGAATAGTCTTAATTTCATATTTGGAAAGTTTTATACATTTGCAATGAATTATCAGTTGCAAATAATCGTGGATCATGATACTAATCATTTGTCAAGAAGAAAACTTTTGTTTCAACATAAACTACGTCTTCAATTTTTCAGATATTATTCCCTGATGATGTTAGCACTTCATCATAAGTGTTAATTGGTATTAGCTTCTTCCTCGTATTATCTACTCCCGCACATCATATTATCATTTACCTCCCGAGAGATTTTCTCCGCGTATTTCAAATGATTCGTTTATATGGTAATTTGCTCAAGCCTTTCAAAAATATACATATGAAAAATAGTTGAGCAGAAAAAGTAAATCTGATTTTGTTTGATTCATGCTATTTCGTTCATATTCTTCGTATTTCATTGCGATAGATTTTCAAAATAAGCATTTAGATAAATGAATTACAACCTATTATGCAAATCAAAAAAGTAACTATCAATCAAATGTTTTTCTACCCGTTTTCTGGAGAAATCTGCATTAAGAACTATGCAATGAAGGCTGCAACATTCTGGAGAAATTTTTTTTAATATTTACTTAATGTGATCATCGTCATCATCACATTATATATTATATATAATATGATGATCACATTGAGTATATATTTATATATAATGATATACTGAAGATGTTTACCAATCATGCGTAATCATTTATTAAGAAAATCAGATTTCTCGATTTGCCTCTTTCTCGTTCGTGAATGTTTTATAGAAAACAAATAGATTCAATTTCAATTTCAGCTCTTCATATCTCCTCGATTCGTTGCAGCCAAACACTTTCATATTTTCAATCATTTCCTTCTATTTATTATGCTATATATATAATTAATAAAAACAATCAAAAACGTTTTTAAAAGAGTTAAAAAATGCAAAATATAAATTTATTACTTTTTTGTCCCAAAATAAAAACTATTAATTGCTTATTGTTTTAGTTTGCAGACGCAAAATCTAAAATTAAATATACTAAAATTTTCTGATTATTTGTGCGTTATTATCAATAAATGGCGCTCAAATCGATAAATTACATACTAGTTATTGAAGTAAGAAAGTATTATCGAATAACGATGTTTATTTACTAATTTATATTAACAAATGTCAAAGTGCAAGTAAGCTTATTAAGATGATAAGAGCATCAAAGTACTGACGGTTCAAATATGGGCGAATATGTATTGAAAAAATAAGCATTTATTATTTGTATAATTGGAATGATCAGATAGAAGGCAGTAGTATTAATCATTTTATCTAAATTTGTATAATTTGTCTTTCAATTATCAATTTTTCCTTTTCTTTTTTTTTAATTAAAGAAATTGAAATCGACCATTGTTTGTCAGTTATTTGAAATGATTAGGAGATATTTATGATGGAGTAATTTCTTTCCTTTTGAGAATTATTTAAGAGGCAAAGTTATTCTCAAAAAAAGCCAATTTCAGAAGGAAAGTGAGTTAAAAACTGAAGCCAAGTTTCACATTTTAATGGAATTTGATTATTGAAATTCAAGATAACAAAATTCTTCAATTGATTTTTTTTCTTCGTCTTTAGAATAATATGATGTATTAATTGAAATGCAAATTAACTCTCATATAAAGGATCAAATTTTTCTGCACGCAATACTTAAACAAGTTTGATATCTCTTTATTTGGAGGTTTTGAATTTCATTTCAAACTTGGCCTAGCAATTTTTCGTTTTTTTCAAAGGCATCATGATTGTTTTCAGAGTACAAGCTATTATTTAAAAAAAAAGTTAGCAATAAATCACAAAAATTAAAAAAGTGTATACCAAAACAATCGATTTATATGTTTATTATTAGAAATAACATTTGATAAAAACATTACTAAACTTGGTGTTCAGTTATTTCTTGATAACTTGGTTGAAACAATTCTTTATTTTATTACTTTCCATAATTTGGTAACAAGTGTCAAAGTAATGATTACGATCTCATAATCAGCTTATAAATTAAAAAAATAAATAAGAACTAAATTGTCAATATGAGATAAAGCTTAAATTGCATGACAAATTCAGTAAAATGAAAATGACGATTTTCGAAAATTAAAAATGATGAATTATTAAGTGATAATTAGCTTTTGATGCATGGAGAAAACAGCTTTCCTTCTATGTTGCTGCATCTAAAAATTTCATTTCACTGAAATTTGAACAACTTTTACAAAGATTGATAATATAGTAGTACTCATACTGATAATGACAAAAGGTAGCAAGAGTAATTATAATGCAAGGAATTTTAAATAAGTGATATCAGTGATAAAAATATTGGTAAACATACTGATGCTAATTGCAATCAAAATAATCATAGCAGGAAAGATCGAAATGGATTCTGATAATAAGGATAGTATTATTAATAATTATTATTACTGACAAAAATGAAGTACATTATAACTTATTAGTAGTCGTAGTAGTAATGAATGATAGTAGTCTTATTGATAAAGAATATTATACTAGTAATAACATATTAATGATGATAAAAATTAATAATGATGATGACGGCGATTTTCATTTGAGATGAAGGATGGATGTTACACATAATTGGAAGCATTGGCAAAAAGTCAGGATAGAGATCGCTTATCTCGTCAAATTCGGTCTTGAAATGTAATTTAAATCTCTCGTACAACCAACAATATAAGCTCTAAATTATTCAGACAAATATCAGGCTGCCATGATTTGTGGAGGTTAAATGATTCATGCAAATTTTTTTTATCTTCTGCTGCTTTCTACTCTCACGAATTGCTTTCTGTCGGCCTTCGAGACATGATAGAATAAATCAAACAAAAGTTGCAAAATGATGATTACTACATTTGATCCACACAAAAACACAAAAAAGTAATTTAAATTTTAAACTGATTCGATTTTGAAACAAATCAAAATCAAACGTAAATAAATGTCGGCAAAAGTGTTCTGGTTTAATTTTGAGTTACATTAAAATATTGAACCTGTGTAATTATTTTTCACAAAAGCAGCAATCAATCCGCTTATATGTCAATTAATCACTTATTTCTTGGTACTCTGCTTTACAAATCAAATAATCATTCTTTATAAATGAGATCTAATTTAAATGTGTTACCAAACATACAAAGGTCACCGTTAATTATTGTATATATCTGGCATATCTATTCTAAAATAAGCAAATGTAAGAACTGCTTCACTGATTGAAGGATGTTTTTGATTCACTCTTTTCTGGAGATAGCTAAACTGCAAACAAAAAATTGACGGAAATAGCAGAAATAGAAGAAAAAAGCAATGAGAAAGCTATCTAATGTGCATATTTTGAAAGGTGATCAATGACTTTCTTGCGTCGTTCATTTCAGTCTATATCTGTGTTTAAACATATTAATTAATTAATTAATTAATAATTATATTTACACACCTACACATGCAAATGCGCATGCAGGCAGGCATATATACAAATAAACAAATGGATAAATTTAGGTTTGAGAGATGAATGAATGATGAGGTGGGATTGAATTAGTGTTTGAGGCAAGTCGTAAAACTTCGTGAATATCATCATCTGATTATTAGGAGTGGTAGCTAGCCGAACTCTGTAAATGACCTGTCAACTCGCACGGATTCATCCATTTCCCGTAATTGAGTCAATTAAACACATTTGCAAGAATATGATTTGCATATAATTAAAAATATGATCCATCATAAATCTAAACACAGCATGACCACCATTGCCACCTTTGTCACTCATTGCTACCTTCTGCTGTTCCGTCATTCTAAACCAATAAAGACAATGGGAATTAATTGAAATATTTGTCAATGTCCAAATTTCATCTCGAAATTTCGCTAATGAATAAATCTGATCCACAATTTCTGTTCTAGTCTCTTCGCAATTAAAATTATAACTGATAATGTATTTTCGTTTCAAGAATGACAAATTATTTTGCAACATTGAGCATTTACATGACAAATTACTTTGCAGCACTAAGCATTTGTGTGATTCAACTGAACTGAATTGCTATCATTACTGTTGTGTCCTCTAGACATATTGTAATATCACGAATAAATAAAAAATTTTATGATTATCAATTATATAATATTTTTGTTATTGATAATAATAAAAAGTTACAAAAATAATATATATGTATTTTGTAACTGCATAACTGCATCTGATTAAATAAACAATGCACATGATTTGAGCTCCAACTATGTTCCACATTATTCACATATGATTTTAATCATTTTCATTATCTAATATTATCATTTAATATAATGCGTAATTATGGTTTAAAGAAATTTCATGCGTAATATTTCGGAGTATAATTTATATCCAAGACTTGGAATTCAAACAATTAATGATGCGAAATAGTAATAAAACTTTGCCTTACTATTCTAGTATTTTGAAGTTATTCAAACTGTTCGTCTTCTTATCTTTAACTTGAAAACCTAACTTTAATCACTCAAAAAGCATTTAAAATTGCCAAGTATAATATGCTCATTTACAAGTTTTGATGTCATCATTGCTTTTGTTTATTCTTTCTAATTTCTTATTTTTTGAAACTATTTTCGCATAAGATGCAAAAACTAATTAACATTTAGGAATTTGAGTTAAGTTTAATCTTCAAATATAAATTTTGTTATAAAATTATGAGCCCTCTGTTTATTTATTGTTCAATCAGTACAAATTCTTTATCTGTTGTGCAATTCTGTTTATCTAATTTTCAATTTTAATTTTTTTTGTTTCACAAAACTTACTTTATCATATAAAATTAACTTAATTGATTTTTTTAAAGTTACACTGCAATCATAAATTTAGCATCAATCAGTGACAGACAATATGTGCGATCTATTGATCTACGTTGTTTGTTTGGTTTTCAATTTTGATGATACTTAAATGCAAGCAAAATTTAAATTTCAATTCAAATTCCGAAAATAAAAATAAACAGAAAAGGAAGAAAACAATTTGGTTAATTTTCGCTGATAATTTTGAAGAAAAATAAGAAGAAACAAATCTATTTGTCATTTTGGATCGGTATGCATGAATTAGCATTTCAACCTTTCCCTCCTCCTTCTCCTCCATTATTTCCTATTTTCTAGCTCCAAGTCAAACCCTTAAATAAATGTTTTTTGGCTTCAAGCTTTTAATGTATTTAATTTTTCTTCTGCAAATATTACTTAATAAATTTTGCAAAAATTTAGTGTTCTTTTTGGCAAGCTTATTTTTTCAACTGCACAAACTTTTTGTTCTCTTTTGTATTAGACTGAATACGAATACGAAGAGAACTAATGAGTACAACACTACTATACTCTTTTAATTAATCACTTTGAATCAAACAGCGAAGAAAAGAAATCAAGCTAATTTGTTTCCATCTCACGTACTTTTTTGATACAATTATTTCTGAGCTTCGTTCTCTTTAAGACAAAAATAAGAATTATCATTTAAATGATAACTACACAAACTTAGAAGTATTTAAAGGTTAAATTTTGAAAAGCAACTGTTTCATAATGAAAAACTATAGGATGATAAATTGCGCTCAATATGAAAAAGTTGTGGAATAAAAATTGCAAATGACAATTAATAATCATGTTTTGTTCGAAAAGTACTATTTTAATTATGTAAAAAAATTATTTGGTAACTTTGATAGAAAATGAATTTCAAATAATATATTTCATTTGTTCTTCGATAAAGATGATTCAAATTCAAGTTTTACTACTTGGGACAGTTTACGGCTAGTTGCTTTCAAATTTCAATCATACTTAAACCCATAGAGGTCTATTTTTCTTCTAGTAAAGAAATCAATCCTTTATCTTTATTGAAGACTAATTAAAAATTTCAGGGCTTTATGCTTTTGCAATCATATCTATTACAATGTTCAGAATCTTAAAAAATATTTCCACCCCATTTAAATTCAATGTTGTATAATCATTTTTTCCTTTAACATTTCTTGCAAGTTCATAAATAAAAACACATTACCTATAGGGATTAAAAATATCACAAAAAAATAACTTTTGCTGAAATACAACTTATATAAAAAATTTTATCAAATAATAATATAGGTTTATTATTAATTTTGTGATAGTTATACAAACTTCATATTTTATAATATTAAGTGAAAAAATTTGGAAATTATTCAAACGCTTAGGTTCCAAATAAGTTTTTTAATTTGAATTTTCTTGTAAAATCTTTTTCATAAAATATGTTTTCAAACTTTTTTGTCTCTCCATCTTTTCCTCTCGCTCTAAGAGAAAGGTTACTGATCTGTTAGTGCAAGAGAAAGTGAGAAATAAACTTAATCAATTGTATTCGGGAATGATTGGTGGCAAGATGAAAAGGACCGCCTACAAATTTCCAAATTTGCGTCCTCTGATTGGTTAACTCATTCTCAACTTTTTCCCCTTTTTTTTTGAATTATTACTTGGCTAAGAAAATAAAGTTAAATTTTACTTTTGCTAGCAAACTAGAAAATGAAAACTTTGTTTTTGGCTACTCAGTTAACTTGAGCAATTTAATGATATTCATTCTAAAGTGATTATGATATTGTCATTCTGACAGTGAAATGATTCTTTACTAAATTTAGTTGCATTGAAATTAAAAAAATTAGTTTTACGCTTTGATTTATTTTTATTTTTTGACTTTCATCTTTATTCTTTCTATTGTTTAAATTTTATTCAAGCATTTTTCGGATCAAATTCATGACAAGTGTTGTCAAACTTCCTATTTATGAATCAGTTTAAACGAAGAACATTGAAATTGAAGTTCAAACATATTTTCTAAAATTTTCAAATTTCTGGCGCAATTTATTTGTAAAAATTTCAAGTAATTAGAAGCTTGATTAATTATGATTTTCACTGATTATGCATTTAAAAAATATACTGTGAACTCATTTCTTTTATTAGTTACTAAAACGATTAAACTGATATTAAGTTAATGATAATTTTGTTTTTTTCTGTTACAAATTTCCTCAATTTATTTTTCTGGAACTTGTGCTTTCTTTTCTTTTGTATATAAATATAAATTTCAGAACTTCTATTCAACTCATTATGAATTAATTTCAACTTTTATTCACAAAATATTTAGTGAAGCAAAATCTGATCTTAATAGAATTTACAAGTAAACCTTACATTAAAGTAACTTATGCCAACTCATAAAATGTTAAGTTACACCTAGTGAAATAGCTTATAATTTTTATGTTAATAATATCATGACGACATTGATAAGAAAAATGTATCTGTAAAATAAGCACTGAAAAATACTAAAAGTGTATTCGAATTGTTTCGATCATTTTGGGTAAGCGAAAATTAAAAGTTCAAATAATGTAATTTTTTCAAAATATGTGAAGTAAATTGACCATAAAATGATTATTTTCTTCGAAACATGAAAATATAACAGTATAGTTTTGATGTGCTTAATAAGACTGATTAGAAATTTTTATATTCATCAAAAACCAAGTTAAAGAAATCTAATTTTTTAGGAAGTAGCAATGTTTGCTGGCATTGGTATGCAGCAGTTTTGGAAGGAATGTTGGAAGGTGCAACAACAACTCATCAAAGGAAGTATGCTAATAATAACCATCTGATTAAATGAATTTCAACTTGAATTTTAATTCTCCATAATTAAACATGATATACTCTTTTAAATTCTCTATGCATTTTTAATATTGAACTTTATATTTATTACATTTCATCATAGTTTGCATATGAAACAGTTCTTCACTACACATTGTTTTTATTTAACTTTTATTCGTGAAAGAACTAATTAAATAAATCGAAAATAAATAATTGTTTACTATAAATCATTTTTATGGATATTTAAAGGTATTTTGCAATGTTAAATGAAATCTTAGTGAGGAAATTCGTACACATTTTAAGAATAAAGGGAAATTGAATGTATGTACATTACATTTACTGGTCAATATGCTCGATGCATCATTTGTAACTAATTTTGTATTCTCGAACTGAAAGTCATGCTTGCCATATCATTTATAAAATATAATATCACTATGAGATTTCTAAATTTGTTTCTCTTATTCAGTAGATTTATCAACGGGTCAACAGCAACCGACATCATCAAATGAGTCTGAAATTACATCTTCAAGATCAATAACTCCCGAAAATATTGCCGGAGAAGATAATATTCACTTGACACTTCCTGATGGTGATGACAAATCGATGCAGCATACCCAGCAGCTAAATCTTGGCAATTTTCTCAATGTTAACTGCGATGAGCCTAAAGGAGGTAATTTATTGCTACTCAGCTTTTTTGAATATGAGTCAAGAAAGTCATAATAATTTTTTTCAATTAAAAATCTTCAATTATAGTTCAAAAACTTAGATAACTAGGTATTCAAAAACGATGCTAATCTAAATATCAGTTAATTTAACTATCAATTACGAGTTCATATTTAATATTGTTCAACGTGATTACGTGCTTTGGTTTTTGTAATAAAAGTGCACAATCATTTTAAGATCTTTTAACAAAAATTTTCCTCTTTCAAAAAAGATGTTAAAATTAACAATAAATTAATGAAGTATGTTTAAAATTAAATCAAGTTATGGGAGTTAAAAAGCATTTTCATGTGAAACAAAGTTCCTCTACCGGTGAAAATTGTCTAGGTAGTGATAAACTAGAAGGCAAAAGAAGACGAACGCGAACAAACTTCACGGGTTGGCAGTTGGAAGAGCTGGAAAATGCATTTGAAGCTAGTCATTATCCAGACGTTTTCATGCGTGAGGCATTGGCATTACGCTTGGATCTTCTTGAGTCACGTGTGCAGGTAAATTAAAAAAGCGCAAACATTTTTAACATTCAACTGAAAATATTTATTGCTGTATTAAAAGAATGTAACATTGCTTGAAAAATAGTGAACCATTTTTCATTTTTGAAAAAATTATTCAAAATATTCTAGTAAATATTGAAAGTGTTTATTGAAGTACTAAACACTTTCAAAAATGTTTTAGCATATTTTTTTAATTATTCAAGGTACTCATAACGAAAGTAAAAATATTTCGAAAACATAAACTGAAAATGATTAAAAGCATTTCGTGAGCTGTTTGAGAAAGATCAAAATTTTTAAAATCCAAAATTATCAAAAATCGTCTTAGTCACATTTTTCAACTAATCGTTTTTAACTTTCCAACTGACGTTCGAAAAAACCACCCACCGTAACTTTTAGCATTTTGTGGAAAATCACCAAAAGCTGCCAAGGTACGGTAATAAAGTTTATTACCACTTTCATTTCCAAATGCATTTTCCATTAGCATTTACAAATGGTTTTTTTTAATGATATAGAATTTTTTTAAATGATGAAATATTCTTGTCAATTATAAAAGTTCATGCAATAAAAAATATGCTTGCTATATTTTGTTCATTCCAACTAATTTGGTACGGTTTTTATCTGAACAAACTTTTTGTTATCACAAATTCATAAATTCAAAAAACATCATTTACAAAAAAAGAGGGAAACGATTTTTTAAGAGGCTTAAGTAATCTTAAATTGAAGAGTTTTGCCCAAAAGGGAAAAGCTATCAAATTTCAAGAAATGTCACTAATTTGATTACATTTTTCATTTCAGCAATCTTTGTTTAGCTAAATTAAGCCAATAAAGCAGTTCCAGCTTATTTTATCGTCTTTCTTTCTCATAATCGTTATTTTGATAATAGTATTTAAAAAATCGTTATAATCTAATTTTTGTTCATTTTCATGTATCCTGTGGTCAATACTTTGCATTTTTAACGTTTATTTCATTAAGTTTTTCAAACTTCTTTCCATAATTTACGATGTACATGAAAACAGTGAACAGAGTCAAAATGAGAATTATAATTACCGTAGCCTAAAAAAAGCATGAGGGAAAAGTAACTGAGATGTTTGTTATTAATCAGTCATAAGTGAAAAGTCGTTACAGTCAAATTTTTTTCAGAAAAGTCAGAATTAGTATTTGCATCAACATAAATTTGAAAACAGATATTAAAGTTGATGAAACTGGTTTTTTTGTTACGATTTTCAGAAATTATTTCAAATATTAGAGATCATTATGCATAAATTGAATTGATGATATGACACATTTTAATATTTTTTCCATATAAATGCAATGATAGCTATGGTAATTTGAGAAGTAACGGTTTTTATTGACTATAGTTTCAAGAATAACCACAAGTAAAAATAATGACTGAGTCAGGTTTGGTTCCAAAACCGACGAGCTAAATGGCGCAAAAAGGAGCAAATGAAAAAAGCAATGCAACGATCTATCCATGCTGATGATGCAACAAGCTCTAATATAGCGGATAAATACGGAAGTGGAGGTGAAACTAGAAGCAGCGAGGTCAGTTTAAGGTCAGACTTAAATAAATATTTAAACTAAAATCAATAAAGTGATTAAATTGTCATAGGTCAAAGACAATAAGACCATTTCTCCAACAAAGAGTGCATTTTCCATCGATAGCTTGTTAGCTACTTCACGTGTTCCACGCGGAAGGCGACCAAACGCAAAGTATCCACGTGTACAGGTGATTAAAGGTTTCATTTGAACTTTGCATTTAATTAATTGAAGCCGAATAATAGAATTTCGTTCATAATTTTAAGAGTTGATTGAAATGTATTTGAAAAAACAGATTATTCTAGGCATGCAAAAGTATGTCACCATTTATGCTACCATTATTTCCAATCACACAACCAGCTGGTATAACTATACGTGAAAGTTCACCACTTTCGCCAGTACTTTCACGATCTTCACCAGTACCTTCACAGTCATCCTTATCATCAGCTGGTAATGGCACAGGTGAAAAGCAACTTTGTACCGATGATTTCTGAATTTAGTCATTTTAGGAACATCTTTTTCATGTAGTATTATTTTTAAGTCTATTCTTTAACAATATGCCAAATTTTAAACATTTTTTAACAATGTAAATGGAAAAAAAGCAATAAATTCTGAAAGTTAATTGTTCGTCATTTTAAGCATAACAATACCAATTGGTTATGTAATATTTTTCAATACAAATAGTGATAACTATTTTGCATCGTGTCATTGAATATCATTGTTTTTGAATCTTTCAAAGTATTATTTTCTTAAGGGATAGTTGAAAAGGGTAAGGTTAATAAATATTATTATTATATCATTATTCTTAAAAAATGCATCCAGAATTATCTTTTTCTGCGGTGTTTTAAATTAGACAAGAAAATTTTGAAAGCATATAATTCGGAATAAAGTACTCAACATAAACGCTTTTGAGATGAATCAAAATTGAAGGGATTGATTATTAGTCAAATGAAAATTTGCGTCACTGTGTTTAGCGATGGAAAAAATTGATTCTATTTTCTAATTTTATATTCTTGGCGAATTTTTCCTTGAATAAAAACTTTGCCTGACCTGAAATTTTTTGCTATCTCGAGAAGCAGCATATCTATGATTATAATTAGAGATAGTTAGTTTTATTTTAACCATTTTGTGATATGTACCAAGTTTTATCTGTCAAAGAAGGTTAAAACCAAACATATGTTAAGATATATTTCTGAAATTAATTATTAGTTCGCAGTAATTTTTCATGCAGTCCATTGCTATCAACTAAATAAAACGCTAATTTCCAAAAATTTTTTCAATAATCTAAACTTTTAATAATTTGTAATTAATACAAAGAACATACTGAAATATTTTACGTTTTAAAAAGAGTAGTAAATGATGAATGAAAAATGCAGTAAAAGCATATTAAAACTGAGAAAAGAAAGATTCTCAGAAAGTCTTTGGAAAGTTTTGACTGCTAAAATTATTTTAGAAAGCAATTTTCTTGCATGTAAAGGTCTGAAAGGTATCTTCTGTTTAGTTAGAATTATAACGCTGCTATGTGATAATAAATTTCTATAAAATTATTTATTAATTCGGATCATCTGGTCAATTTATTTCAGTTTTTTTACTGTTAAGCGATAAATTATTCAAACCATAGTCAATTTTTGTGCCATTTTGTCAAGAAAAAAGTTTTCTCAAAGCTAAAAATCAAAGCAGTTAGAGCAATATTATTTTGTCAAACTGATCCAAACATCAATAATGATTCATTATTTTCATTAGCACAATAAGTTATCGCTATTTAATTTCCATACAGCAAGGAAATTCATGCTTTTAACTTTGTTGCCTTTGTCATAAAAATAAATTTTCAGCACAGACAGTATCACTGAATGCTTAAGTAGTGTATTGTTTCTTCTGTACCTTTAAAATCTTACTTTTAATGTTTAGAAAATTTAGATTTTTATATTCATTCACTTGCTGCAATTTTATTATTATTTCACAGCGATAGCTGAAGAGAAACTATAAATTTTAAAACTTATATGTATTTTTGTTTGGATTTTTTAATCTATTTGAAGTGATGATTGAAAGATTTTAAAGAATTTTGTTCTGAAGTTGAAATCAACAATTACAACAGCAATGGCTATTCTAAAATTATAGATTAAGAAGTTCAGCTCTGTTTTTTAATTCTAAAAACTAACTGAAATCCTTTTCTGTCAATTAAGTTCCATAATCTAATATAACTGCAACTTGATTTTGAAGAACTGCCATTGAAACTTTTGTGAATTTATCACTGGTTTTCTTGCATGAGTTTATCTCTGATGAACTTTACTTTCTGTTCAGTTTCATGATCTTAAAACTTATACTATTACTCGAAAGTCATTCTAGCATCAAGAAGTGTCATTTCCATTTTTTATTTTCAATTTTTAAAAATTTTCTCCTGCTCTCTGCCTTTTCCTCCTTGCAAGCATTTAAAACTTTAAATTTATCATTGGTTTTCATATGCTCAGCTCCGCAACATGTATTTAACGTTCATTCAATTTTTCATTTCAACTATTTTTGAAATTCTGCCACAATTTAGAATCAAAAGAGAATCAAACATTTATACTTGTAAGGCCTTTTTAAGACGTTTACTGACATTCATTCTCATTATGAAATAATCAACTTCTTAGCTATCCCGTGGGGCCTGTTGTTTAACTCGAACAAAGTGATAGATCTATTATTGTTTCCAGATATAATAATTGATGGATTTCCTAGACCCTTGGAAAAAGAGTGAGAACCGTTTAAAACTATCAAAACTATTATTGTTCATCGAGAGTGATTTATTGATACATCAAATCCCGGGAGGGTCTGCTTAACTAAGCATATTCGTTGCAGCTTGAAAATTTGCTACCATAAATTATCTTTCTACTTTTGCTAGCATTCTTGATAATAATTTTATATTATCAGCAAAATATCGCTACAATAATAACTGTTATTATAATAGCAATAATAATAATAATAATAGTTGATACTAAGGTTTTAATATACGGGGAGTCATTACTTTAACTTTTATCAAACTGTCACTGCAATTTTTCATATTCCAAACAAAAAAAGGTCGTATATAAAAGCTTTGCTCGGCTATCTTGCAAGTATGCCATTAATTCAAACCATAATTAAAAAATTAATTTCAAAACCTGAAAGTCTCAAGAAGCCTTGAAGAAAAAAATGCTCTGAAAAAACTTAATACTAGTTAATTTGAAAAAAAGAAGTATTAATTAAAATTTTGACTACAATCATGAAGTAAAAAATATTATTGCAGGCAGTAAATTACTGCGAATGTTTAATAATTTACTTTGATGATTTTACGTTTTTCTAAATTTAAGTTCCAATTTTTTTATCTAAATAAAGTCTCACAGAATAAATTCATTTCATAGAAAATGTACAAACTTGAAATCCTATGAAGCAAATTGGTGTAGCAAAACACATTGATGGAACACGTTACAATTATTTCACTTTTTCTATCTCATCACTGAGTAAATTTTATAAGTTAGTTATTTCAATATTAGTTCAGCTTTGTATTTTAAGAATAAAACTTTTTTAAGGATACCATTGACTGTATCATCAAACAATGAAGTTGAAACAACACACTTATCATTATGCTGATTTATATTTGCTAACACGCCCTGGATATTTGAAGTGTTTGAAGTGTTAATTATGATCTAATTCAAGCATACATCACTTGCATATGCCGTTTTTAATTAGTTAAATGTTAAATGGTTTTACTGCAGTCAAGTTCATTTAACTCCAACAACTGTGACTAATTCATCACAGCAAGAAATAGCAATACTCCAAAAGATTGAAAAAGCTCCAACTTAGCTTCAAGTTCCATCCTTGGCAATTCAACTTCGCGATGCATTAATATCTGAATGAATGCGCCAAAGTATTCATGCAGTATACACGTTTGCATGTCTACGCTTTTGGCTGCTACTTAATAATACGAAAATGATAACACGAAAATGTATATAATGCATATGTAAAAGCAAGCATGTATAATGCAAAAGTGGATAAAAATATGTCAATAAAATATTCTTGACATTATTTTTAACGAAATAACAAATAACAATGGCTAAATGAAAAGCACTGAGCAAATATCGTGCTTTTTCAATTTTCTACCAGCTGAAACCTTATAATTTTATTTTTCAAAAATGTTCCTTCAATTTTGTTATTCTTACACAGAAAACTTCTTTCAGGCTTATTTATAATGAAAAACATAATAATAATAATAATAATAATAATAATAATAATAATAATAACAATAATAATAATAATAATAATAATAGTTTGAAGAAAACAAAAATGAACACACTATAAAGTGTTAATTTTTAATGATTGAGTGATGCATACACAAAAAATGAAATAAAACAGCATCTCCAGTCATTAAAGGTATAATAGAACTTTGCGCTTTGCATGTCGAGTATAGTGTACTATTAATGAAATGGTCAGGAAGTGCAGTAGTTTAGAGTATCAATCTATTCAAATGATGCAGTCTGAAGTTAAATAGTATTTACATGAAGATACCATTTTGAAGTAAAAATAGCCTGAAAATTTGGCTATTTACAAGTCATCAGTATTTTTGCTATTCGTAATAACGAAGTGGAAAATTCTGAGATGATGATTTTCATAAAGGTTCCTAGATAAAATATGGTTTCATTGGAATTTGATAAAATTGAGTTGTTGCTGACGTGTTAGTACTTACTTATTACTTGCTTGATGAACAGGATGTAAGGGTTAATTACTACTCAAATACATTTCTGCACGCTACATATTCTTTAATTAGCATTATTTGTGTTTCTTTTTTCAAATATTTCATCTATTAGAGATGTTTCACTTCGATGTGAACTTTTTACTCAATTTATACGAAAATTCTTAATTGTTCCCTTAATGTTTCGCCATCTTGTCTTACTTTTTATACACTTTCATAGAGGGGAATTATGGTTTTGTTTTCCACAGATTTATTAATTTTGAGCAAAAGTTGCCTCATTTCATTCACAACAAACGTTTATTGTATTCAAATAAAAACATTTGCTTCGCTGCATTTAAAATAGCGATGATTTATTACAAAATTCTATATTCTGGGGCTTAATTAGTTCATTCATAATTTGCAGTTTATGGCAAATCATTCGACAAGTGCGACAGTTTCATTCCTCCTCGCTATTATTGTCATTGGTATTAGTCAAGTTCTAAAAGTAAGTTTGCTTGATTTGCATCATATGAGCGTAATCAAAAATACCTCATTTTACTGAGTATTAAACTAAGTTCAATAACAGTACAAGTTTTATGAATTAATATATTTTAAAATTTGGCATTAAAATAAAGATGGATAAAGAGGTGTCTTCTATTACGTCGAGAGTAGTCATCATTTATCTACTCTCCTACGTGCTTTTTTTACTTTGAGTTGTTAATTTCCAAACTCTCTTTATTAGCTTTCATCGCTTTTGAGCAGTCTTTATGTCAAGTTTTCGGGATATAAGTCTAGCAGGGTTCATTGTTTCAGAATGATTTAGCAACGACGAAAACTGGAACGTTAGTCGCGGGTGCACTGGGTTCATTAATTTTTGTGTTTTTGCTTACCGCTCTTTCAAACTTACAAATGGCTTCAATTGGTGAACAAGTGAAATCTGGACTAAGCGAGGCATCAATATGCTTAGTCATTGCCTTGATTGTTTCCGCATCTGTTCATCGAGTCGCAATTACAGTAAGAAAAGTTATTCAGTTTCTAACCGTCACATGATTGTAAACCAATACAAAATAATTTCTGCGAACTGACCACTTTGTTTATAAAATTTATAACTAAAAAGCAATATGCATATAAGAACTATTATAAAAAATTTGAAAACATCTTTTGCATTAAAATAGGAATGTTTTCGGTAAGCTTAGCTACAAGTTTTTCAAGACTTCTGTTAAAAATAATAGATTAATCAGTCTTCCAATTTATACTAAGCCCCCGTAAACTAAAATGATATGCTTATTTATTTTCCAGGTTTGTTTTATGTTCTCTTCATTTCTGCTGTTCATACTGACGGGAATTAGTCAGTCAAGGTATGCAACAGCAGTTTTACAGTCATTAGGACAACATCGAAGAAAAAGATGATGAAAATATTAAGATTATATTTATTGTTGTGGGCATAGGTTCTACTGCTGCTTCGTCTTTTGACGCAAGAAAGAACTTTTTAATTTTAATACTTTTGACTGCAGTTTTCCTTAAAGTTTTGAAAGCTATAATGTGAGAAGTATAAATTGAAAAACTGTTTTCTTCGCTAAGATGTTCATTTCTTGTTCGAGATCAAAGGATTTACGGTCCAATTCTAAATTCTTGTATATGTCAGTAAATATTAGTTTCTTTAAAGTCAGGTCGAAAATAATAGTGTATTTCGTATATGATTTGTGCTTAAGATTGCTATATAAATTTTCCACAACACCAATTTTTTTGTCTCTATGTATACATTTGATTTGTAAATGCTTGTAATATCTATGAAATTGTTTAAAAAAGAGTGAATTAATTATAAAGATATCAGTAGTGTAATGCAATTTGGTATTTTATGACTACTATAGTTTCAATAATTGGCTTTCTATAATCCTTTAACGATATTTTGTCGGTTTTTTATCAAAATTTTATTCCTAGTTGAAGTTTTATATGAAATAAATAGTGCTCCATAGTTTCTAATCATACTGTTATCATTAATGCAAATATGTTTTGTTGACTAAATTCTGTTACTTTTTTGTACTTGACGGTTAATTAGTCATTACATATAATGCGGATATATGTTTATGACGTGGAAGCATTAGTAATAATGGAGTAGAATGTGAACGAATCGATACTAGTATTGTGACCATCTGAAAGTTGTGATGCAGTTAAAAGTGAAAGTACCTTTGATGCAGCCCCACATGCGGAGGGGTGTGTACGCCTGTGGAGATACTGTTATTTGTACCGTAGAACGGATTTATGACTTCCATATTAAGGTTCTTGTTTCAGAATTTAGAAAAGAATATTGTGTTGTAAGTTTTAAGGTTGTAGGAGGTGAATGCAATAAAATGGCTATATCTCTAGAATTATCTCTTAAATTTCGCACATGATTTAATCTGTGACATCACTAAGGAAATCTAAGTTAATATATTTCAAAGGATTCCTTCATTTCCTTTCTATCTTGGAGTATAAATGGGGAGCGATTCGTCGAAATCGATATTATCTTCAACCCAGAAGCCTGCAGCACGTGGAATATCAAGAAGCTCAAAACATAATTTAGGATTTAGCTCTGGTCCATCATTGTCAGTTATACAACGTCATATGGGCATGGCGCAAAAGAGTCGGGTTTTGCAGTTGAGAAACTGTGGTATAAAAACATTACCAGAACAGCTGCAACAAGTATGCGAGTTTTCCTAATTTATTCCAGTTGTTAAATTTATCTGAGCTGATATTGGTTCCTATTTATTTTGTCATTCAGATATCAGCCATTGATGTTTGGGATGCTGATAGTGCTTTGACTGGCTAAAATTTTAGTAGTTTATAAAAAGAGTCTTCCAGTATTTCTAATGTTGAAGTATGCTGCCTACAGCTTCTCAACGGAATAAAGGAAATCTTTATTGTTAGCATTGTTAAAAATTTTATGAACTGAAGATGCTTTTTTGTTACATATCTAGTTGTAACTATTGTTTAGGATATTATACAAATCTAATTTTAGATCAGTGAAATTCTTCGTAGTTTGGATCTCTCCCAGAATAAAATTCAGACTTTACCAATATCTATTGGTTTGTTCAGCAATCTGAAACAACTTCACCTGTCTCATAACAAGCTGGACAGACTACCAGATGAAATAGGGGTTTTAAAAAAATTGGAAGTTTTGGATCTCTCATGTAATCGACTTGACATACTTCCGGAATCACTGGCTGGCTTGTGTTCATTGAAGACATTAAATTTATCAAAAAATAAGATTTCACATTTTCCTATATGTATATGTCATTTAGCAGCGCTAGATAATCTTGATATATCGTCCAATTTGATCGAATTCCTGCCTGAAGAGGTCAGTTTTTATTCGGTGATACAGTTAAACTGTTTACATTGCAGGTTTCAAAGCTTGATGCAGTTTGTTTTTAGTCATCTTTACATTTTTATTTCAAGAAAAATTTATTTTGATTTTTTTGATTTGAAGATTTATTTGGCTAATCATTATTAGAGTTGTAGTGAAGAGTTATGAAGCACTGAAGTTTTATTTTTAGTCTTAAAGTATTTTTAATTTACAGATTAGATTGTTGAAGGCTTCAGAGCTGAATCTGAATCAAAATAGACTGAATTCATTAAATGCTGCTAACTTAATGCATAACACGAACCTGAAAACACTGCGAGTGGAAGAAAATTGCTTAAATAAAACAGATTTTACGAGCGATTTTTTGATTTATTCAAATGTTAATCTCATAACATATGCTGGAAATCTTTTTCAAGACAAAGATTTCCAGAATTTGCCTGGATATGATGAGTATCAGACGAGATATACAGCTGTAAAAAGGAAATTGTAATTCAAATTCATTAGAATATTTCTTACAGTCTGTAATTTTCACGCATTTTATTTTAAATATATTACTAAACAAAAGTTTCACTGATCTGGCTACCAAAGAGGACAATAGTTCGGTCCTGAGGAAAAATCTTGACAATAATCATGTCCAGATTGTTGTGTTCAAATTTTTCTGCATCTCAACTATGTTTGATCGTAGTTATGAGGCTCAGACCGAAATAGTACATTTATTTTAGTTGCTTATTGTACTTGTTCGTTTTATCCAGTAAGTGAATTACTTGACCTTATAGTAATTTTACCATATGAAATCGATTGATTTTGACTGTATCATTGAGCTTATTAAACATTATTCTTGAGACTTCAATAAATTTCATAACTTTTCAATTTTCATACATCCCCGAGTTGAGCAAATGACATGAAAATCGAGCCAACAGATTCTATTTTATGTTTGTTTCAAATTTGTATTCTAAGTAATACAGAGTAGGTTAACGTTAACAGTGCAATCGTTAGTTGTATAATAAAATTTAATTGCGATGGCATACTAGTATAGTGTTCGGAAAAATGTGTTGGAAAATATAATAAGGAATTTTGTGAAGGTAAGCATTAAAAATTGAAATATTTTAAACGCCAAGAATTAATATTTCGGCTCAATTGTTCACTATACGTTATAGTTGATGTAATGATGTTCAGTGCGCAATTCAGCGGAATTTTGGTTAACTTTCGACATTTAAGATAGTGTTTTAAATTTTATAAAATTTAAAAAGGCGTGGCATTTAAAGTGTATTACAAGCAAAATATTCGAAAGAAATGTGTTGGGGTTTCCATCTTCATTTCATTTTCTAGTGCTCTATTTTTTTTAACCTATTGTTACTTCCTATTTTTTAGCCTTTTTTTATCTAACTCATAACTTACCCCTTTTAGCGTCTCATCCGAAACAGATTAAAATTCAAATCGAAACAACAGCAAGTCAAAAAATCACTCTCACAGTCACATACATTAATACACTTATCATTAATATTTACAAATGTGTATGAACTTGACACAAATATTAATAAAAATATGGCAAAACAGCAACATCAACTCCAGGTGAACTTTTATTTTTAGATAATAATACTTGGGTTATTTTCATTGAAATCGTGTTAATTGAGAGAAAGAGATAAGAAAGATGGCGTGTCATCATTTCGACTAGTATTTCTAGTTAAGTAGTCACGAGGTAGGTTAGGTTTAGTACTTGATGATTTGAGTACTAATTGTCGCTGTGATGTTGTGATAGGAAATATTTAAGTTGAAAAAATGCAGTCAGCAGTTGGGAATTAGTTCTTAACGTATTTCACTGCAGTGTCATTTTATAACAAACGCTTTGCACTGCGAATAAATGTTTAATGTTTACGGTGGACGTAACTGAACATATCCAGCTATTCGAGACAGTGAAAAAGTAGTCAAAAAAGACTTACATATATATCCATGAACATACACGTATATCTATTTACCAATTACAAGTAAGGTAAAAAATTGTCGTGCACTTTTTTGCGTCTTTTTCTCTAGGCAACAAGAAAATTTGTATTTGTTTGTGAAATAAAAACATTGCGTATTGTTTGCCACAAATTCCATTTTGTCGATCTGTCTGTACATCTTATCCGTACGTCTTTGTTTGTTAATCGTTTGTGACGAAATCTTTAATCACATTTATGTGATTTAGGTGTTATTTGTAGAAAATTTTTTGTAAAATTGGAACTGTGTACGTGAGTGCGTTCCAATACAAGTTTTTTCAATAATTTCACATTAATGTCAGAATCATCTTCAGGAAATGGTATACGAGTGCTAACATCCCGAACCAACTATTGAAGATGCGCTTCAATATTTAAACAGCAGCAATCAAGAAATGCACTTAGCTCTGCTAATATATGGATAGAACTAGAGAAGTAACTTTCAATTTTTTCCTTCTTTTTTGCATTACATTCATATTTATTTGTGTAATTTCTAATTTATCCTGACTGAGCAAGCATTGAAATACTTAGACATGCTAATTCTAGTTATTATGAATAAATTTTAGTACAGTAGAGTCTTGCCGATTATTATATGAAAATTTTTCAGCGAGAGCAAGTGATCCTGGAGCAGCTGGCGATGTACGAAGTAGAAGAGGAGGAGGCAATGGAGCCGGCATCCGCGGAGCTGGCTATTGATTAGGCGGGGGCGAATTCGGCATTTCTCCCTGAAGACAATGGCGATGAATGCTGGGGGAAGAGCATCCTGAAATCGCCGAAAGAGGCTTCAGAATGCTGATGTCTACAATGGAAGTGGGGGAAGAAATGGAACCGGGAGAAGAGATCCGACAATTGGTCCTTTATTTTTGTTTTTATATTCTGATAAGTAGTCAATCTCTTTTGAGATTGCATGTTATGTAGGGTTGGAAAGGTTTATTTGTGCTAATTGCAAGCAAAACAGGACAATTATGATTCCGGTTCCTGCAACCCCGAAACGGTCAAATTGGCATCTGAGGTCTTTCATGTTGGTATTGTGTTGGTATTCTTATGTGAAATTAATAGGCCTTCCGGATCAATTCAGGAGAGAATTGACAGAACCAAAAATGACGCATACGAAGTGCTGGTCGATGGAAATGGTAACTGATTATATTTTTTTCTACTGTTAAGTGATTGTATTTTTGAAATTGAACATAAAATAATTAATAATCCGTGTAAAGTGAGCTTCTTATGTGAAATTAAAAGTGCAAAATATAAATACATAATCACATGTAAACACAGATGCACACATAAGCACGGATGCACACAAATGTACACACGCAGATGCACGCACGAACACCGCACATACATGTACATACGCACACAGACGTACCGACAAACAGACGGTCAAATAGGCACGTGTATACAGGTAAATACAAAATACACAAACGCACGGGTACGAATACATATTCACATTCAGTACATGAACACACGCACACAAGCTGTGATAAGCATAAACACATGTTCATTCGCACTTTATATTAATCTTATCTTCGATTTTGGAGGAAATTCATTCATATTTATGTTTCCTTTTCATATCACTTTTTCAATTTTTTAATTCCAATTATTTCATTTCATTTTTTTTTGTTTTAGTGAAAAATTCAAAACTTTTATCAATATTTTTTTCTCATGATGTGTCTTTCTCTTTCACTAATCACATTCTCACTACCTCTTTTTATCATTTTTTAATGTCTCGTCTCCTATATTTTTTTCATATCTTTGCAGGGGCAATATAGATTTAAGTCCAATATAGATTTAAATTCAAATCAATACAGTAGCAAGTCAAAAAAATCGCACTCAAATCACATTTATTAAAACAGAAATGTAGTCCAAACATTAAACAATAATTAATAGAAATATTGCCAATTACAATGCACAGTTACTGTAGCAACATCGTAGGACAATTAACACGATTTGAATGACAACGCCGACTTTCCATACATTTGTGTTTCTTTTCTTTTTTCATGTCAATTTTTTATTTATTCATTTAATTCTACTTCACTCACATCATTTTTTTTCTTTCATTGAAAGATGCTTCAAATTCTCACCTTCACTTCTTTCTGCAAGTACTTAACTCTCTTTTCACCTATCTCGTCGTACTTTCCTGTGTTTTGTCTCTTTTTCTTATCTTTCTCATATATTATTCTTTTTTGGCATATTTCTTCCTCCTTTCTGCGTGCCATCCAAAGCAACACGAAGATCAAATCAAAAAAAATTGCAAGTCAAAAAACCCAATCACAAATATGCATAATAATTTGCATATATGTGGTTGAAACTTTAAGCAATTATTTGAAAAGGATTTCTCAAAATGCTATGCAATTATTAATCTTACAATTTGCAATTTCTTATGAGCTTAAAAACCAGTCACAAATCGACCAAATTAATGAAGATCTGCAAAATACCATAGATATTCGACTGACCGAGCAACAACGTATGATTAATACAGAAAACAAGTCCTCCACAATGTAACTTCAGCAAAGCAGACCAAAATAAAATGTTCGATAATATTTATTACGGTTCATCTCTTTCTGATTTGTTACAAATCAATTCCTTATCTAAAATTTCAATCTGAAGTAAATCCATGTAAAAATACTGCAGTGTTTGAAATTAACCAAATAATGCTGCATCGTGTTTTTGGTTTATTCTTCAAATAGCATGTTCAAATCTAGATATGCCGCATTCTCAAATATGTTATGAATTTGATGAAAATTTTTGAAAGGAATAGATTTGGATTTATGTATAGCTTGGAAAAGAAAACTCAAAGTTCAACTCAGTTTTAGGACACCAAGTTTCGCATAATTATTTCTTTTAAAGCGGTCTAAGCGGTCTAAGAACTTGTAGTTGTTGTCGTTGTTTCAATTGACTGTTTCGTTAAGAAATGCTGAAAATTTGTTAGATTCTATATGATATATTTGATCCCTACTATTCATTTCTTTTCACTTTAAATGTAATTAGTTTCTATTGCTTTGTAGTCTTTAATCATTTTTTGATCTTGTTGTATGGAACGAATGTCTATGAAGTTGCACGATTCAATTTTTCTTCCATTGATTAAAATAATTTGTTCAACTGCTGCATGTTTTTAATTGCAAATATTAAGAATGGGAAGGATAATTTGAATTAAATCATTCTTACTGACAGCTCAGACCAAACTGAACCAAAGTATGTAGGTTAGGTTTGTGTGGTAATTAGTTACTTCATCACAACTGCAATAGGATTTACTCATTCGTGTTTTCACCTGAGTGTCGTGAAAAAAGCAGTATATTACGTTTATGTTAGCAATTTTCATTTCCAAACCTGAAGTGTTGAGAGAGACATATTGTTAGAGCTTTACAACTCCTGCGACCACTGAATTACGCTGCAAACTGTCTACTGACAAAGACAAAGACTTAAAGAATGCGCTGAACCAAGAAGCATCCTGTAACATCATGATATCTCCCTATGGGAGCTCTTAAATAATCATACTTTTCCCTACAATACTTTATTTTCCAAAATGAATAGACAGCTAATAAGTTAAGAATGAAAATGTAGCAAAAGAATTTGATGGAGTATGTCAATCAGAGGAGAGCACTGAAGAGGTGTTATTAAATAGGTATTTGGAGATCCAATAGTACACACATGCAACAGAAATGAATCTAAATTCGATCAGTAACTTGATTTAATGATTTTACAAAACTGACACCATGGAAATAGGCCGAACATTTGTCATATTTCATGCAATTTTTCAGACGCGAGGAAATTATAGCACACGCACAACCAGTTGCGCAGTTACTGTACGAATATTCCAAAATTGAAGTACAATGCATGAAACACAATTCTTACAGTAAACTTTATATCACTGTACTTGCATTATCGAAATATATTACATAGTAAATAGCGGTAGCGGTTTCATAACAAATTGAATGGCCATCATCTTAATGAAACATTTCAGCCAAAATCTGAAATAATGTTTTATCAAAAGTGATTTGTCAACCATCAAAAAGATTCTTAAACTACAAACAGAATAAACAACTTTCTCGGTCTATGGGCAGCTCTTTACTAACATGAATAGCTAGAGAGTTTTACGACATTCCTCAAATAACTGTTCGTGCTCAAATCCGTCTCTAAAGATGATAATCGAAATATAGAGCACAATTTCACTTATACCTTAGAATTATTAGTAACAGTGGTGACTTTTCTAAATTTACGTTTTCAATATATCTTAAGGTACGAGTAATACTTTTAATGAGTCACGTAAAAGTTCTGAACCACTGCAAAAAAATAAACTAAAACGAAATTACCTTCACCAATCGACTTAAGCTCCCCAAAGCTGCACAAACTTTTATCAATACTAATTCTCGATACTGCATTTGCATACGATTATATGCATTTCACTTCGTCTCCAATTTTCATTGTCTGCGTAACAGCTACATTAGTATCTCCAATTCTTCTAGAGCCTCAAGCATTTTTATAATCAGCATGTGACTGCTTCTCATATTTACAAATTTTAATTTCTTAACTCACATTTACTTTCACGCAAACTTCGATATTGTCTAATGCAATAATATCTATTCTAATACAAAAATAAAATTTAATACATTTCCTGATAGATAACTCACCAGGTTTCACGAGTGTCAATTTACACTCTGCAGTTGTGTTGTCGCACAAGACAAGTTTATAAGACATGCACAGCCCACTACAGCTAATAAACTCAGAATTATTATTATTAGCAAACCTTTGGGGAAATACCTAGATCTGCATTGTACTTAAGATTATTAAAAAAATTTTTGGAAGGCTCTGTATGCCAATGAGCATAAAGAAAAATCCCTTAGAAAAATGCAATTAATCATTGCATGAGACCCGACTACAACACTAGAAATCAAAAAACTATTCTTAAGAACTTTTTAAACATTACAGAATCAATAATAAGTATTATATCAATTTCAAATGAATACTCTGCTAACCAGTAAATACAAACAGCTCCCAATATGTTCCTATAATTAAGCAAATAAAAATAAATATCTAATACTTACTATACTTACAGCATTAAAATTACAAAAAAACATTAAACATACACCATTCAATTATACACCACCCATTCAATAACTACAAAATCAAAGTGACAAAGTTGAAATTAACAAAATAAATAACTTGCTAAACAAATCAAATGATAGTCAGACTCAACAAATTACATGAAAATCCGAAGTTCAAATGCTTGTATGAAATAATGGCAACTCCAGTAAAAAAATTTTAAATTTTATGCTTCGAATAAGTGAGTCAAAGTCAGACACAAAATATCGAACAGAAAATTTCAGCGATCCAAGAAAAGCCTACAAATTAAAAGAATACATGCACTTACAGCATACCACATTGCATATTTCTGAATGACTACCAATTTACAAGTTATTAGTACTAGAAAGATACGCTTTAACTTTGAGATGCAATCATGGTTTTTGACGTTTTTCTCGGTTCATATCCGTACAAAAATGTCGACAGCATAACAACCGATGCACCACAAGCAAAAGTTCTATAAAATATAAAGTGAATAAGTATTACATCCATTGAAAAATGTTACTTGAACACCGACCAAAAATTGTGGTTACATAAATTTTACAAACAAATCTTTTGTTTCAAAATGAAAAATAATAAATAAATCACGACCACTGTAACGCAGCTGTTTCTTTTCGAGTTATTTTTAAATAAGTCTAATACCCAGAAAATTAACAAGGCATAACTGGAAAAGCATAAAACTTAACAAAATGGCATTAAAAGAACAAAACTATTAAAAAATGAACAGTCTGCGAGTACTGAAGAACATTCATCTTTGCAAATTTAACATTACCGGAATTTGAAAAAAAATATAAAAATAACTAACAGAGATGGTTTGAAGTCATTCAAGAACCAGTAAGAAATAAAACAGGACAATGTGATTGAAAGCGATACAGCGAACCCTTTCAAAATATTATCTGCATATTTCACCACTAATGAAATGAGAAGTCCACCATACGCCTAAAAATTTTAATCAACTGGAAAACGAATAGATCTAATCTAGAAATCACATCGTATCGATTTTATAACCGCATCAACGAAAATATCCCCAGAAATTATTAATTATAATCTAAAATAGAGAAGAATCAGGCTAATTCTAGCAGATGGGAATTACCACGATACGACAGTGATTAATACTTGGTACTTTAAACGCACTTAGGATTTGCTTTAAAGTACATCGACTACGAGAAGTAAAATTATTTGTAAAAAATACACGTAACTTCGAACAGTTTGAAAATAAACACTGAATAAACTGTAGCCTAGATCATAATATCAAAGCAACCTGGAGAATTACAACAATACAAGTTATCATATTATATCCTTGGAAAAAACCATGCTTAGTAACTTTTTCGAAATCATATAACCACACCATGAACAAGCCACCAAGAACACTAAAGTACGCTGAAAAATTAAACTTAGCTTCAGTAACTCATTACTAAAATCAAGAAGTCTTCTTTAAAGAAAATTTAGTGGTTTTAAGATGAAATTCATAATTCTTTATTTCCTTACTAAACCATACAGTGGAGATTTCAAAAAGTCAATATGGCTAATTCTAGTATTAAAGAATTCAATCAAAAAACTGAAATATAATTCGATCTTAAAAACAGAGAGACTTTTTCAAAATATCGAAAATAATGCAGTTAAAGGCTTAATTACTTTAAAAGATGTTAATTAGAAAAATTCCTAATCCTTCTTGTTGAATAGAAAAAATAACTGGTATTAATTTTTGGCTACTCGGACTAACTTGACCCTGAACTTCACAAGGAAAGTTCGAAAAGATTCTAAAGTTTAAAAAACGTAACCAAGCTGTAAATTTCGTATCCAGAGCGATACTGGAGACACTTTTAAGATTTTTTCCATATAAACACCAGCAAAACCGCTTGAAAAACAGGCTACAATCACAGCAAGCAATCCAATGATTTGATCCGAACTTGTTATGTATGTAAATCTTTTTGTTGATAACGTAACCTTATCCGAATCTTTTGGGAACTAAAGAAGCCCTTACACCAAAAGTGCAGTATAACATTTAAAATTCTTGAAAAGGTTCAGTGACTTTGAAATTATTGAACTGATTTTAATTCAATGTTTGAAGTACATGATATACTAATATGAATTCTCATCTCAAAACCAAAAATTACATGAAATCTTCATACCTGAACTAAAGCGACCCCACCCGTAAGTAATAAAAGCGACATCCATTTCAAGATATTCAATTTCCTTCCCAACAAAGTTATAGAAAAAAACGCTGTAGTAAGAATTTTGAGCTGATAAGTGACCTGAACAAACATGCGATTGTGGAATAAAGATTAGTGGCATATTCCTAAAACTTATTTTACTTTGTCAGAATTTTTTTGAATAAGTGAATTTGTAACAATAATCAATGGCAGCGAAGTTGAATTTCCAGTATTTTTAAAACGAAATTTTGCAGCTTTCCTCCTCCCCGTCACTAATTCATTCAAAAACCGACCTATTCTTCGAATTTTTTAAGCGCAAAATGCTTAAGCAGCTACTTACCAAATTCGTTTTATGAGATTAAACCAGAGTAACTTTTGCGGTAGATTTTTAGATCGTCTTGAAACAGATTTGTAACGAAAGACTAAGCGTTATAAATGTCTGTATTCATTTCTCGTTAACAAGTGACATAATTAGTGGTTTTAATCGTTAAAAATTTCAATTTGATATTCTCCGACTTACGTCAAAAATATGACACACAAACATATCTTGTAGACAATCATATAACGAACCTGATAAGTAGCTGCATTAAGTGTTGACAAGGCCAAAAAAAGAAGATTATTTTGCACGACATACAAAAATGCCGGCACGGCCATTTTCAGAGCCTCCCTTGATTTCACCCAACATTCAGAGTAGATTTCACTCCCAATTATTTTGTAGTGCCAATCTAGAAACAAAAACATATAACACGAATAGTAAAAAGAGATCTGATTTAATATAGTAGCAATCTATTATATCAATATACGAATTTTCTCACTTGAGTAAAAAAAAGAAAAAAATATATATGTGAAAACTGTCGTATGGGAACAAAAAATGAAAGTGTTGAAATATTGAACGCATATCTAAATATAGCTTTCATAATAAATTTAACAAGTTCTCAGGACCAACATATTTATTATCCAAATTATGGAAACTGAATTAAATAATGCAAAAAATGTACTTACTGTGCTGATAAGCAATAAAGACAAGACATGAAAGTAACTTTAATATTTCGGCATTTATTACTGCCGTAGATGAAAGATACCTGCAATTAAATAATTATACTTAACATTCTCTTTATTCTAGTAAAAAACCACTGAGTTTTTTATACTTTGTAGATATTTTTTATGATAAACTACTTCATAACGATCATTGATTGCTGATACATTAATATACAAACATTAGGCGTGAAATCTTCCAGGAAATGAAGCAGAGTTATCAAATTTAAACATTAACGACTTACTATTTCGGCTTTCTGCTTTTTCAAATAAAATTTCTAACTCAATTGTAAATTTACAGCATGAAGTTCTGAAAGTCAAAAGCTAAACATATAATCAAATAATTCGGAAACTGAAACGCTAAGTAAAATTAAATTCCACTCTTTACATCACTCAAATTAAATGTAGCAAACAAGAAAAAAGATATGTAGAAGTTTTGACGGCGAAATAATCAATGCCACAATTTTAAAGGAACTGAAAGTTAGAAACCAACCTTGGCCCATCAACTTGTTGTGTCCGCGAGTACCGCAACAAGAGTGCAAGTGCGGTAGTCTGTAAAATTAGCACAATTAGTGACAGCCACTTCAGATTCTTGGCATCCACCAAACGCTCCCATCTGCCATATCTCACTGGCGATGAAGCTGACAACAGCTGAACTACATGCTGGTCCAAATGATGCACCATTGTGGCGTCTTTGCTAAACAAAAAACGAACATGTTGAAGTATTGAACGTATATCTAACTATAGCTTTCAAAACAAGTTTAACAAGTTTTCACGACAAAAGACGTAAAAGCAAAAAAAATCTCCTGATTACTTCCTTTTATATGTTAATTAATTCTAGTCCACCGCATAATTCTCGTTTGTAACAGTATTTAATTCAGTGTCATCCCAATATCAGTTCTCAGAGTAAAGAGATACGGATAAGAACTACTACACTGAACAGTTTGCGTACATAATTTTGTTCGGTATCTTTATCAACTATAACTGGTTCAATGGTATGATTTGAACAAGATATTAGACACTATACTGTCTTGAAGGAGAATAAGCTTACTGCTGTTTGGATATATGTTATCAACTACTAAAATATGCTAGTATTATGATTATATGAACTGATCTTTGCTGACAACAACTTGATAAATACTTCGCGATACTTGAACAATGCATTTCCTTGGGTCCATTCAAGATTACTGACAATACATTTAGAGTCACCTGCTTCCCAAAACTGATTTGCACAACATAATACAAACACAATTTGATGTCATATCTTATCCGGAAATAAAATATAAATGCCAAAATTTCTATCATATTCTGAAATTCTTTTGCTAAAAATCAAGCCCTGACAACAATGAAAGCCATTTTCTCACCAGGCTAAAACTGAATTTATTCACTAAACATATGTTTTTATTTTTGATACAAAGTTTTGTTTTCAGCTACTTTCATTCGTTTATTATTATTTAGCTATTTTCTATGTGCACAGCACAAAATATTATATAATTTAACCTCGTTATTAAATTGCACAATCTAAAACAGCAGGTGATGTGACTTGACCATTAATTTGCAAACTATAGATATTTTCGTTAATATTATTTGCAGCTGAAATATTAAGTGCACAAGAAGCATACATATATAAAGCATAATGTAATCAACCGTACAAAGAAGTATATCCCAAATAGTAAAGATAGAAAAATAACTTTAGCTATTACAGTTTCTGCTTTTGAAATGTTTCGATACGTGTGGGATGAAATTCAGAATAACAAGTGGTTCCCTAGTCATTTTCAATTCGATACCAAAAAATATGACAAATATATTTCCATCGACATTAATAAATGATTCCCTGGTTTATTTACACCATATCTCACGAGATTTCATACTATTATGATAAAACAATTGCGCAATTAGTGCATTGACTGATGAAAAAAAAGAGCATGAACTGACCGCTGGTACTTATATTTTTTCAATAAGTCTGTATGGACCCAAAGTAGTTGTTTTACTGAACGCACAAACAATGAATGTATGATATATATGATTTTGACATACATCAATTCGTAACAATAACTATTTAACATTATTTTCAGTATATAGCAGATTTCTAACATATGAAAACTGAAAAACCCTTGATAAGCGAAGCTAAACTTGACAAAACATGATACGGCTCAACATGAAAAATCTTAAATTTGTGACCCTGTTGATTTCAGCCTGGTACCGTATCAGGTTGGCAAAATGACGTGAAATGGATCTGAAAACTGAAGTTTTGCAAGGAAGGATGGTTGCCACTGAAGCCGGAACATTTACGTTTGGAAATCTATCAACTACAAACTTTCATTAGCAAGTCAATTAATACTAATATATCTATTCCATTTTGAACATTCTTTGTAAACAAATGCTTGAAACAGAAAAAACAAATGAAAACATGCAAATGAAACTCAAGTATTAATAAATAGGAAGTAAAACAAATGACTTAAATAATAAAACAGATAGGAACAAAAGCTTTTTGCATGTCTGGTAGGATCTTACAGATACACATCCTTGAGCAGTTTTGAACCCTGCTCCTAATTTTGAATTAAAAACAAAATTTTACAACGTGAAAGAAATGATTCTATCAGTTATCTGAAACAAATAAACAAACAAAGGCTACGATTACAACTGCCATATTAATCTTGACATAACACAATCATTCAAATTCTAATGTATGGTGCAAACAAGACTTGCACGCACAACTACATCAATATCTTACGGACCATTAGCGGTCCGTAGCATTTTAACTCTACGAAAAAATTAATATTACAAGTTCTCTTGCACGCTGTCTTTGCTAGTTTGTTTCTCTCCTCATTAAATCTTGTATGTTCGTAATTTTATTTGCTAATTTTGTGTTTTTTAACGACTTTTCTACTTATTACTTCGGTTATCTTTGTTTAACTGTCGCTTTTTTTATTGTCAGACGGTCATAGAGTAATGTGCTGTTTTTGTTTCCCGCTAAAATGAATTTAAAAAAAATGCTTGTATCGTCTGAGCTTCTTTGTTCTAGGCAACGTATGGTGCTAAGTCCGCGTTTGCTTAGGCTTATTTCGAAAACCTATTTATTGAAGAATGGTTCGAGGTCAATGTATGACAATCCGAATATTAAGTTATTTAAGCCTAAAAAACCTCCATCGCCCGAGTTTCATAAAAAGGTTTATTTTATGGCATACACTTATCAATATTTAGTCTAGAGCCGTTGTTATACTGTCTTTTACTTGTTTTTCTTTCATTTGTTTATATTTCAATCTTCAGTTTTCTATATATGCGAGTCGGTGAAAGATGGAGAAAGTTTTTTGGAAAATTTTGATGGAGACTTTTTTGTCATCTTTTTTATGTTATGAAGATGAAAGCTGGTAGAAATACTGCTCAAAACAACTTTGTATGATAAATGTTTTCGGATACACAGCGAAGCTTTTTCATTCTGTGAGAAAGTAGCACCATCAAAAAATGAATGTAGTGAGAAAGAAAGAATGTGAAAAATTTGTGATCTAAAAATATCAGCTACTTCAACCGTGTGCTCTGAATTTTGGTTATTTTTGTTGCTCATTCCAATTTTGTAATTTTGCGTTTAAATCTAGCATTTAACGCCGAACAGGCTGTCATTGTTAATTTGATTTCCAGCTCTCTTAACACAAAGTTAAAATATGGTTAACGATTAACTGTCATAAACATGGCTATCAATAGAACATTTTACTTTCTCCGTTCAACTTTTGCATTGTTTCAGTAGCTTTTATAAAAATTAATATTTATTGGATCTGGCCGTATCTCTTCCCAATTCTTCACTCTTCGATGTCTAACTTTTAATTAATTATTTTTGCATTCTTCGATTTCTGTCATAGTTCGGTTAATCTTTTTTAAATGCTAGTGCTAAGAACTATTCCTCTCATTATATTATTATTGTCATATTATTATTATTATTATTATTTAATAAATATATTGGAAACCATTATTGTAGACGACGGGGTTAACTGGCTTATTCGTTGACGAGTATGGACTTCAAAATTTGCTGAAAGAATATGGGCGACTAATGAAAGTGTTGGAACAGATTCCTGAACATTCTTCTTATCGAAAATATACTGAAAGTCTTGTAAAAAAAAGGATTTCATTGATTGAAGAGGTCAGCAAGCCAGTTATTTGAAATTTTATTTGTGATTCGTTTCTGTCTCACTCCTGTCCATTTCGATCGAAAAACGCTCTCGAGATTTATTAGATTTACATAAGCAGTAATAGGAAGAGCAAATAAAGATATTTCTAGCAAGAGTTCAATATTACATTTAACTGGAGTTTGTTTATTTTTTAGGAACCTGACATTGAAAAACTAGAAGAAAAGATCGGTATGGGACAGATTGAAGAAGTCATCCTACAGGTATCTATCGATTAATTTCAGAGGATACTAAGATTTTAACCATATTTCGTTTCTGACTCAGTTCTATCTATCACTATTAAAAAATCTTATCGATTTTGCATAAACAGTGATATTAAGAATATCAGCATCAGTTTTGACATCGGAAAAGCAAGAAATTAAATCGTAAATCATTCATCCAAATTTAGAAATTTCAGCCCCATATCATAGCTTACTCAAACGAAGAACATTTCACCTTATTTCAAAGACATTTTTTGAAGTGTAGTAAAGCATCAAGCAGATGAATTCATATGATTTGTTAGAAAATTAAAATTTTCTAATTATAGGCCAAATATGAACTGTTAGCTGCGAAAGAAGTCTTGAAAAGTCAAGCATGGGAACCCTTAGTAGAAGAAGCTCCTGAAGGCCAATGGAATTGGCCAGTTGTATAAATTTGTTGTGTATTGTAATCATAGGTTTTCGCAAATTTGAAATATTAGATGTAATTGTATGCCAAGTAGTATAGATAAAGTACTTTATGCTGAATGTTACTTTCATGTCGTTTGATCTTGTGAACATCTTGCATTTGATACTTATTGAAGGAAATTTTATAGGGTGATCGCATTTTTTTGAAATCTCTTTACTTGAATTTTTTGATTCAATATTGACAAGTGGTTTGTTTTTTAGTATCAAGTCCACGGCGTTTTAAAACCATTTCTTTATCAGTATCTGTATTAATAATGTTGTTAGGGATTCTTAGAAAAATATGGAATTACTTGTGTATAATTTTTGCAAATTTCCATGCCAATTTTTCACTTCATTAAGTAAGAAAGTGCAGTAGTATTTCGCACTTTTTTTTAGTTCTTTGCAGAGATTGAATAATTTAATAAATGGACTTGCCAGATCCATACTTACCTGGTGCAGTGAGTTTGCTGGAACAGCTCGACAAAAAGCTCTTAGTAGTACTTCGTGATGGGCGTACATTAATTGGATATCTGAGGTATATTGTCATTCCTCATCAATGCTGTTGTTTTTTATTTGCTTTTGATTCTTGATTAATGAGGTATTCGCTTGAATCTGCGATCAGATTCACTAAGAAACTGCAGATGTGCTTGAAAGGATGGTAGTGTGTCTTTTATATGATTTCGGTAAATTAATTTGAATTCTAGAACAATCGATCAGTATGCAAATTTGGTACTGCACGAAACTTTAGAAAGGATCCATGTTGATACATATTATGGCGATATCAATCGTGGAATATTTGTGATTCGAGGAGACAATGTTGTTCTTGCTGGAGAAATTGATGAAGAGAAAGAAAAGTGTACAGGTTCGGTTTAATGGCTAACTAAAATTGTGTGGTCTTATCATCCACTTGATATTTCTACTGTAAAGCATGATTCAGCAGAAACAAACAATTTTTTATTACACTTTTTATTCATTTGCAAACACCTTCTTTAACATCATAGCGTTGTAGTACTACTTTCCTGTGCAATGTTAATAATTTTCATACAATCTACATTTGTTGATAAGAGATGTATTGAGGCACTAAAAAAAATGGTGATAAATAATTCGTAATTATGTTTCACATATTTCAGGACTTATATGTATTCCCGCAGAAAAGATTCTCTCATTGCAGCGCGAAAAAATGGAAGAAAAAGAAAGATTTGAGGAAGCGAGAAATAAGGTGATGAAAGGTCGCGGTCGGCGTGCGCAACATCAAGTTGATATTTTCAGTGATGAGTTATGATCAATTAGTGACAATCAATCAGCGCTAAAGTCATCTTTTCAGAGGAAACTTGTATTAGTTTCATCTTGGTGAAATTTATGTTGTTCTGCATATATACTGTCTGAAATCGATGATCCAGTAAATTCAAATTAGTTTCGCATCAAATATGTATATAGAAATGCAATTAGTTATCATTGTGTACATATACTATTCAAAGTTTGTGCTTAAAAATTATACACTGATTCAACATGAAATGCTATGGTGTTGATTTTTACTAGGTTTGAGTCAATTATTAAATGAATATTGGCTAATTAAGCTTTGGTGGAGTGCTTACATTTTCATTGCAGTCATAGCTAGAATGTAATCATTGGTGATTATTGTCTATTTGCTATTTGTAGTTTTTGTTTATGAGGAATTTTGATAGTATGCATAGAAAGTATACGAAAAAAAGTGTTACGAGAACAAATTCATTCTTCTCATACTCATCAGATTTATATTTTTTGGATGTAAGCACTTCATCGGCTTATGGCTGCTATGGATGTGAAAAAGTGCTCGTTTCTTAAACATCATATTAGACTATTCAAAGTTTATCCGATGCATTTTGTGAATAAAGGTTACAGTTCATTCACTTGCTTGTGAGGCATATCAGTAGTGAAGCAAACTTATATTCAGAAGTTTTGTGAATTTTATTTCATTTGTATAATTTGTTGACTATTGTTACACAGATAGTGAGGAGTGATAAAAGTAGTTTAAAAGTGTTCCATCAGTAAGTGTATCGTGCGTTTGGCATTTATATAGTTCTTTTTTTCTCTGTGTTTGGTAAGGGAAAAGAATATAAACTAGTGATTGTATCTTATATTGCATTACTTCTTTACATCGATTTCGATTTACTTCCCTCATTACTAATAGTAGGCCGGTTTGATTACAAATTATGTAGCATTGGACTAGAGATGTTCAAGTGCTTGGGATTAGTTCTTGTGACTCACTGCATGTTGTAGCTACTGTTTGAAGTTTAAATGGGATTATGTGGTGTAACGAAGTGTAAGTTTATTTCACTTTTGCTAATGATACTGTGAGGCTCAATAGAAAATTTTTAGTTGCTGATAGGTGATTGGGTGTTACTTAGCTGTACTTCATTCATCTCAGGAGGTTTGTTTAGATTACTTCTGCCTAAATAGATTGCTCATTCTCGCGTAAAGACATTAATTCAAGAAAGCATCACGTATGCAGTGGCTTCATTGTGAAAGGGATTGATTATCAGTGATGAATGAGTAGACTAACTCTGTATTTAGTGACTAAGTAAATCAGGCCAATATTGAATGTGAACGATATGATGTGATACAAATTGGTAATGCCAGTAAAAGTAAAGTAGGAAGTATCGTAAAAATAAGGAATGGATAGCATGAGAATGGTCTGAATAATTACCAAACAACAGTTGAATTTTTCGGGATAAAAGTAGTCAAATACTTGGCTGGATGCGTATTTATCTCTCCTGGAATGTAGCTCAGCTAAAACGTTCATTGTCAGAGGCAGGATTACCGTTTATTGGTTTGTTTGTGCTTTATTTTTTTCTACTTTTCTCGCTATCACATTGCTTCTGAACATAATTTTCCACTTTTGCTTTTTTTTTGGTGAAATTTCTAAAAGTTGCTACAAATTTAATTGTTATTTATTGTTACAAGCGTGTGGGTTTGAAATATGCTTTTTATATATGCGTATTGGTTCTTGCCATGCTGTTATTGCAATTCATTTCTAACCTTAAAAGTCGAGCATTTCTTTATTTTCGATAGTTTAGGTCGTTGACATGATTTTGTTCATGTATATATTAGATATTTGCAGCTCAGTTTGAAAGAGTGACCATAATGGAACCTTGATGTCTTCAAAAATGAAGAACTGAGCAGGTAGATGAAAAAATAAAAGCAATGTAAGGCTTTGCGATCTGTTATATTGGTACATTGAGAGTAGCATAAGCTTTTATGTGTGAATGTTGACAGTAAACAGTATTAATTTTTTTAAATCAGAGCTTCATTTTTATTTCAACAGTTACTAACCGCTATAATATTAGACGAGTATGGGTGATTGTTTTAACACGCAGCTAGGTTATTTAAAAAACAAATTGCTTACCATTCGAAATGAAGTAATTACTGTTGAACGTAAAGTTCACCACAGCATAAAATGTATGACGTTTGTTCAGTGCACGTAATACCTTTTCCTCCAGTTTTGTTTTGGGATCCCGTGTTCCACTATTATTCCATCCTAAAGGAATGATTAAATTATTTAGTGCAGTTGATCGTTGCAAAAATATGCATTCAAAGGTTAAATAAACAAAGATAGTTGTTGAAAGGTGCCGTGGATGCTTTCAATGCTTCAACAATGCCTAACGCTTGAAAAGTTTTTTTTTTCATTAAGTCTTTTTTGCAGTGACCATCGATTATTTCAGGACAAGCTTTTTGCGAAGTTGGAGCATGCTAAATTTACGTCATTGGTATGAACTGCAAGTCGTAATGTATTTAAACGACCAATTTCCATTTTGCATGATGTGCCTAAGTTGAACTAGAGTCATTCTTTCCTCGTTTTAGTTCTGAATAACTTATTTGACCACATAAGTTTCAATGATTACTGCACAATACTACAAAAACTAAGTAGTGTGGTTTGAGACATTTTTTGCATGGGTAGTCGCTGTTATGTTTTTGTTACCACACGCACCACATTGCTATGAAAATTTTAACGGATTTTAAAATTAAAAGAACATGGACATGATTATGACATTTAGGAATTTTCAAGTTGCATTGTACTACATATCCTATCATTTGTCATATTATGGCTCATATTAATAATTTACCAAAAGTTGTGTTCGTATTGGGTCCTCCGGGATGTGGCAAAGGAACACAGTGTGCAAAATTAGAAAAGGTTATATTTATTATTCATAATTGTAACGAAAAGTCATTATTTGTATTTTATGTTTTGCTTGATAGTTATATTTGGGAGAAAAGTGTATAATGCATGTTGTATATGTTGAAGCCAAATAAACTAAACTGTAGAGTGCTGAACTGATTTCAGAATCTTGGAGTAAGACATTTAAGTGCTGGTGAACTATTGAGGCAAGAAATAAAACGTGAAGGTTCTCAATATGGACAGTTGATCGAAACTCATATCCGTAATGGTACTATTGTTCCGGTTGAGATTACATGCAAACTTATTGAAAATGTGGGTCCCGTTAGCTTCAAGCAATCTTCATTGCATTAGAAATTTTCTTTTAAAATACTTGTTAGATTACTGAGTTTGTTTTCGTCATAATGTGTAGATGACTACTAGTAAAATTTTTTCAGTCGAAATCGTGAATCGGCATATTATTATGACGCATTTAAGATACGAACTTGTTTTCACATGAATTGTACATAAAACAAGTAAAATGAAAATCGAATTGTCTTAGTCTAAAGATTCTTTATAACACTCTAACTTCTTCCTGGCTTCTTTTAACAATTCCAGGCAATGAGTAAATCACATTTGTCAAAAGCATTTCTAATAGATGGCTTTCCAAGAAATGAAAATAATGTGAAAGGATGGGAGCGTGAATTGCAGCAAAAAACAAAAATTCTATTCGTTCTGTATCTGCATTGCCCTGATGAGGTACTTGATTCTCATATGACCTAAAACAACCTGACAAATTTTTCTTAATATATGCTTAGTATCTAGATCGAGAAAATATTTGGAACGAAGCCTTTTTTGTTAGGTATGTGTTGAGAGATGCTTGAATAGAAATGAAGGGCGTTCAGACGATAACAAAGAGTCGTTACGTAAACGAATTGCTACATATCATACACAAACCTTGCCGATCATCGAATATTACCGAGCTCAGAATCTTGTTCGTCAGGTATCAGCGACTGCTTCGGAAGAAGAGGTTGAACTAGTTTTATTTTATAATCTCAGGAATCTTTAGGTCTGGAGATCTGACTACGTAGTTTGGAGGAACTCTGTAGAACTATTTCTTTTACAATTTTTCTAATTTCCTTACATGGATTCTGTCTGTGACGCCACACATAATTCAGTTCTAAAAGCCTGTTAAGTACTCAAGAGTATTAATATCACTTAGTGATACTAATAAATATCTGTTTATACCACCTTTTATTTATTCAGCAAATAATTGGAACTAGGACATATCATCAAAAAAAAAATCCAAAATAACAATATAAACTAAATAGATTCAAGAATAACATCAAAGAGATTTCGTAGTGCTTTCAGTACTAATTTTTTAAACATTAATATAAAGCTACACGGCAGAAAATTAAAGTAGAGATGAAATTGTGAGAAAATAATGCAAATTACATAAATAGATAATTATAGACAAGTTTCCCGCTAATAAAATTAAGGCGAAATAGGAGCATGAGACATGTGTATGTAGGTTGTATGTATTTCAGATTTATGAAGAAGTTGAAAAACTTTTCAAAGATGCTGGAATTTCAAATTAAAAGGAGTAATGAATGGACTAGTGAGCAGTTTGGCCAATGTATTCATCGATCTGGATTTAATTTCGGTCATGATGTGTGCTTCAGTCCTTCTCATGATATCTCTTAATTAAGATTTAAAGCTCCATGTCACCAAAAAAATCACAACGCCTAGCTTTCATTTGGTCTTGTACTGGCAAGTGATCATTGAATCTCCAGAAACATAGCGACCTGTTGAATGTTGTTGCTCAGCCGATTCTTTCCCTGTGAACGATAATGTTTGCCCCTTGTTTCTGATGATTGATAAATATACCATCCTGATAGGTGTGTAAGGTCTACGACCGATATTATTTCTTCCTAAAATAGTTCGTCACACAAGGATTTGTAGTTCTCAAGACAAACAATTATTTTTAAGCTAAACGCGTGAGGAATGCAGGAAATTAATAATAAAATGTCTATCATCAACAAGTTTACTGGGTCTTCCGCGCGTTTGAAATTTTTGTCCGTGATACTATATGTTTAGTATAATACATATTTTAAAAAAAAGCATAGAGAGAAAGTTGCATCTAAATCGTCATCAACTAATTCTAGTGATTGAATAATAAATGAAGATATTACCGCAAACAAACTATACTGGTTACTAGTGTCCGTTCGATAATTGATCATTTGAAATACACGAGTCTTTAACACTAGTTGGTTGTATAGCCCATTTTGGTATATCACTTGTATAACTCCACTCACTGGTCTGATATTTTACACAATGAAGGTGCAGCATCATGTGCTTCTCCATCACCTCTTTTTTTTTAGTACAACAGCCCATGCATATAGGGTCGAAATCCTTGCGGATTTCAGTATTCAGACCTTCTGACTCCAGCTGCACCTGAAACCGATATCTAATGAAACTTGCACAATTGCACGAGATAAACAACAACCTGGTCGAGAGGGATAGGGAGAACTACCAAAAGTTAACGTATTGAAAGTTGAAACATATAAAATTAACAAAATACAGTTAGAAATCGGTCCTTTAATATATTAGAAGTGATGGTACCTCTCCTTCAGCTATTTCCCTTACTCTTGCTCCGTATTCAGGATCTACTTCTTCCTGCCAGTGCGATGCTTTATGTTCATCTAGAATATCTTTACGAAGCTGAAAAATACTGAACATATTTTGAAGGAATATGCAATACATTTTTTGCGTTATAGGAAGAAAAATATTCCCACGTGGCTACCAATTTCTCAAAATTATCGAGATTTTAAAAGCTATTAATATTGAAATTTTGACCTGTTCCAGTGATTTTCCATAATTTGCATTTTCGCCTTTAGCTTTACCCCAAGCGAGAGTGTTATAGATGTAATCATCTATGATCGGGAAACCTTTAAAAAACTGGAGGGATTCAAAGCCCAAAATTTTATAAATGACGGATGCAACCATCAAATAATATGCACTAATTTAAATAGAAACCTTCTCTTCCTTATTCCGAACATTCAATAACCAATCACATACAGTGAGGAACTAAAATTTTTTGGCAGATCCAAAAAAAAGACACAGAAAATCCTAACCTAAATATTGTAAATGCACCCGAATTTGATGTGTACGGCCAGTTTCTATCACACAACGAACGACTGATGTCTTTCCATCAGTCCATACCCGCTTGAAACGGCTAAGAGCATACTTGCCATCATCACGAATACACTGAATACCCATAGACAACACGAGTGGCCCAATAGGACGGTCACACACAATTTCTAGATCTCTTCAAAAGAAATGTCTGAGATCAATAAATACAATCAAAAGAAATATTTTGGGAGAAAGCAGGACAACGAGACAAAACTAACTAGTGAATTTATCATAGTTACCGCGATAAATAAGGTCAAAATTTCAATATTAATAGACATAAAAATATCGGTAACTATGAGAAAAACGAGAATACACTCAGAAAGTGGGATATCCTGCTTCATAATCTCACCAAAAAACAGAAAGATAATTAACAACAGCTGTACAATCTTTTTTTCTCAAATCTAAACAACATTTGAATTTAAGTTGCTAAGTATAATTTTGAAATATTGAAAAATAAAAATTTACCCCGGAAAAACACCTGCTACTTTACAAATATATTCTTTATGCCATTTGTTGCCTATTCGAAGCATCTTTTTTATCTATAAACGAAAAATTAAAGCGTCTTGCTGGGGAAAGAAATGTACGTGATTAACCGTACATATCTGTCTACTTTGCAAAAAAAAAAGAAGACAACAACCGCAAACTATATAAGCTGAAATATATTTAAATGCGTGTTATTAGAGATCAAACTCTTTTAAATGTTCATTTTGTTAGTCTAGTTTCCACTACTTGCATCTAGTATATATAGAATTGTGTGAATAGCTAATCATATCAATGTATATGATAGAATCACAATACTTTAATCTACAGATTACATTTAATTACTAAAGAGACTAAAAGGATAAGTTAACCTTATTATCTGCTTCTGAATTTTTCGCGAACATTAAAACACCGGATGTCGTGCGATCTAGTCTATGCAGAACTAAATGATCGAAACTGCATGTACATAAACTAATTCTAGGTGGAAACATATTTGAAAATGGGAGTTACGGACAATAAAAGATTTTTCACTAAACAAAAACCTTGAAAAATTACAGACTTATTTCTAAATAATGTCATTTAGAAAGATAACTAACTTCATGAAAATATTTTTTTTATCTATTTGAGCAAACAAATAGCTTTAAAATTTCAAAAGAGTTTCATAAATTTAATGAAAACTGCATCAACCTTTCAAATTACGAAAACCATGCTGTTCTCGTAGCATACCCAAAACGGTATGGAGACAATATCTACCACAAGGATGCACTGGCATACTTGCTGGTTTATCCACCACTAGTATATTATTGTCATTATTTATTATTTTAATGGAACAGTCTAGAATAGGATGTTCATGGCGATGACCAATGTGTTCAATTGAATCATTATGCCGAATGATGTAATTAATATCTGTCATTTGACTGCAGTTTACCCATATCCGACCTAGTTTACATGCTGCAGCCTGTAAGAAATAAAAAAGTTATATGAATGTTCTGCAGTGAAATGTACAGCCTAAATTTTTAATTCTGTTCATGAAAACATCCAATATGATATAAATTCACCTAGGATAACATAAAACATTACTGGATAATAAGGATTTAATGACATAAACTCTTCAGCAAAAACATCAACTAAACGACGCCCAACCCATCGCCCTTTAGCCCATGTTCGATATATACTCCAATAAGGTTTTAAATACCGAACACCTGCAAATTAAAGCATGATTTATGGCTTAGTAGTTTCCCAAAGTACACGAATGCAGATAATTTGAACACTATTCATTCACTTGAATGAGAGAACGGAAAGCTATCTGAATAATAAAAAAGATTAACCATTCTTAATATGAAAATCGACACATTTTGGCATAGTGTCTAGTTCGTCTGCTTTATAATGTTTATGTTTCTTATTTTTAAGATCCTGCAACAAACTCAGATCAGTATTTGAAACTTAGAAAAAATTAAAACTGACTTCACATCCAGATTCTTCGATAATATAACTGATCTGGACACTTTTGCTGAAAAATATGTTGCAAAATGTGCAACATAAAATTTAGCCGTTTGCTAAGACATTTATGACATCAAATCCGGAATTGACTTCAAAATACTTTCTGAATTAAAGTTCTTGTAGAAAATGACCTTATGTAAACAAAAGCAATAATTTCATTAGGAAAGCATGTAATAATAAATACTAAAGAAAGTACTCTTCATGCTTTGAGTATTTAGCAACTTACATTTCTTGACATTAGACAATAAGGCAAATTACTGGCAGTGGAAGAAATCTGTTTCTATCTTTTAAAACTGAAAATGACTTCACTATGAACAATACGATTTAATCATAACAATAATGCACTAAACTGCACTCAATTAAACAATAGTGCTAGAAAATAACTGCAAGAAGTCAAAAGCAGACCACATTATCCGCAAATGAATTAAAGTTCTTGTAGAAAATGACCTTATGTAAACAAAAGCAATTCAAACTTAATTTGAGAGTGCATTTTAGCAGCATTATCAATTCTGTCTGTGATTCCGAGTGAATTTAAAACAAATGAAAGACACATAAAAGCAATATAGTTTGTTACGATGCCCAAAAGTTGTATGTTAAAAATGGGGAGAGATTAGAGGAAAGCTACATGTTGTATTGTGTCCGGCTTGAAGCAAACTTGCGATTCTGAGTAGCTATTAGAGTTTCGAATGCGAAGTAGATGGTGTACAGCAGATATATATCAGAGTTTGTGAAGCATGATACGTTGTACATTAAACGAGAATTTTATGTTAATAATTTATATGTCAAAAAATAGACATTGCCATTGGGATTATATTGTGTCAGTTTGAATAACTATGCATAATAATTACTACAAAATCAATATCATACAGATGTTATACTTCTCTTCATTATTGCATCTGGGAACCTTCCACCTTTGGGTATCTAATATTGTATTATTCTTCACTTCCTTCTCTTGTTTCGTCTCCGTTGCTTCAGAAGTACTACAGCAAGGATTGCATGAGCATTGTTGTTATGGTCTATCACTCCTTTTCGCCTCTTGGAAGTTGCCTCTGATGTGGATGGTCCTTCAGAGACTCGTTTCCAGCTATTAGTTAACTGATCTATTTGAATGATGGAATGTTCTCTCGTGCTGCTACCATTTCCACCGTTCTTGCATCATTGACTGTCGATACCATTACATTTGTTGTTGCAACTGATCGCAACGGTATTTCCGCCATTCAGTTCCATCGTCGCATAATGACATCGCCACAACAGACAAAAGTAGAAAGGAGACAAAAAATAGAAACAAGAAATTACGAGAAAATAGTTTTTTTTTCCAAGATCAGACACAATCTATCGTTCATGATCACTATAAATATATTAAAATCTTTAATTATAAATTTTTGCAGAAGAACTGTATTTCCATCGTATTTTTCAGGCTACCACTGGTACATTTATTTTTCAGGCTACCACTGGTACCAAATGTGTAAAAAAGGAGGAAAGTCGATTCATATGTTCTTTGTGTGAAATTACATTTTCATTCAAAGCAAGCACTCAAAGTTCTTGCAAAAAAAATACTGTACAAGTAAAATGTGGCTATCCATATTGAATTCATAAAACAGTACAATTTTTTCAATTGGAAAAAAATATTATCTAATATAATTCTACACTTCATTTTTGCAAAAAGTTTTGGTAAAGTCAAAACATTTGCAGAGCTTACACTATTTTTGACTTCGGTGCTTTTTAACCTTGTCTTTCTCGTACTAACTTTTAAATTTTAATATTGTGAGAAAGTATTTTCATCGAGCTTTACGTCACTGTCATTAAAATTTGTTTTCAAAAATAGTTTATGAATATTCTTTTTTCTCTTTTTGCTGTTGATGAAATGAATGAAAAATGTTGAAGTTATAATCTATGCTTTTAGTTTGTTGCATTTTACATGCTTGTTTGACAAGAGAAATTTTAAAGTAATTGTATATGCCTTAGCGAAGTTCATTCTCTAATCAAATTCCAAAAATTTTTCAATCAAATCCCAAATTTCAAGTCTCTAATCAAACACCCAAATTTATTAAACTAAAATTTAACATGTTGCTTTATAATGGTAAAAATTTCACTACATGCTATTTTTAGCATTACAATAACAATCGTACTGCGGAAAATAAAGTGGACTTTTATGCATTTATTGTGCATTTCAAAATAAGATTAGAAACAAAAAATTTTTTGCATGAATTAGTAATAAGAATAAAATGTTACCTCTCTTGCTTAGGATTAATGAGCTTGAAGCAGAGGGAGTGCAGACGAAATAGTAAATGCTAGTAGAACGTAGTAAAGAATACTTCAAAGTAATGTTGAAAACAATAAAAATGAACTTTTTTTGCGAATTTTGACGTAGTGTTTATTTTTATTATTATGATTACAGTAATAATTATTATTAGTATTATTTCGTATTTATCATTATGTTATTGTCATCTTCCTTCGTAATACAATTCTGTTTTGGTGGTATTTTCTTTGTCCATCTATTCATAAATTTATTTGTTTGTTCTCTATTTCTTATTAATCCATCCTTGATTAGGAAATTTTTACTCAACTTCTTTCAGTGTCTTTTATTTTCAATGCAATCACTCAGTCATTCTTTAAGTGGTTCAGCTCGAAGTTTTATTAGCACTTACGTAAATGCTAATGCGACACTGCACAATAAAATGAAACTTTTATAAATTCCAATCTTCTTTAAAATCACTAATGGCTTCTAATAGACGGATAAATAAATCAGTCATGGCAAATTTCACTTTAATCTTATTACAAGTCAATTAATTATTTGCTTTTTTTTGTATTATTTGTTTTGTCATTTCTGTTTTCTTGTGTTACCAATAAGCACAGCTTTCCGGATCAAAATATTGTTCAGTCCTGCAGGATAAATTGCATTCTTTGGACATTTTTTGGTAAAATTTTATATTTTTGCTTTGTTTATATGCATACACCATTCTGCTTCACTTTAATCTCCACGCAAATTAAATTCTAATCAAAAAGACAATGCTGTGTACATTTTAAAGTTGGATCATCTACTATTTGCATTTTGCTACTTTTTCTTATTTTTGTTCTCTCTTTTTACATATCTCCTAACTGATCTATTCAAATGCTCTCTCGCTGTTTTTTATGATTGCTTAGTTGTACTGTTTACTATTCTGTGATACAACTTTTATTCGTACATTATGAATCCTTTACTATCACTTTAAAGCTTGAAAATTTAGTGGAGTTAATTCAATTTTATTAAGTTGTTCAGTTAAACTTCCTAAAGATTGCTGAAAATTTTCCCTTTTATAATAAATTAGCATAGCATGTCATGTAGCACTATCATAGCTTATTTTGTGACAAATTTTTGATCTGTTCAATTTTTGATTTGCTTGACGAAATGTTTCATTGCCAAGTTCAGCTGAAGCTGAAATCAGCAGTAATAACAAACAACATGGAGTAAAGATTTAATCAAACTGCTTTGACATCAAAGGATATTTACAAAGTAAAGACAGAAATTAGCGCTGAATACAAACTTCAGTGTAACTTATATGCATTACTGGAAATTAAAGTTCGTACTTTAGCAATAAAATTTAGGCATTTACAGATAATTGCTTCCTTACCGAATGTAGAATTCATTACTTCATCTTATAAATAGTCGACAGTATGTGAGATTGATTATTTTATCACTTAATAGCATGAAAATATTTTCTCATGCGCAACCGAAGTTGTCCGCACTAATTCATGTTGTAGTTTGAATTTTTGCTTGAAATAATTATCTGCAAACTGTGTCCAAAATTATCTGCATTTTACAGTCAATTGTTTCTACTTCCGTAATAAAACTTAACTACTATTATTGTTGTCATCATGTTTTATTAGTATTAATTATTATTATTAATTTAGATTTTGTCAAAGCTCATTAAATTACTATTATTAGCTTTTTTAATAATATTATTATTTTTATCGGTATTAACTATTATTAATTAAAATTCTTCTATGATTTGGATTTTGTCAAAGCTCATTAGTTAACTTTAATTAAAAAGCCTGATTTTCAAATGCTTCACTTTGACCATTATCAAGTCCATTTATTGATATGGACAGAAAAAAGTAGACTAAAAACACTGATCACATTTTGTTTTTATAATACAATATTGGTTTTCCTAATTATCATAAATTATTATACTAGACAGCTCTTACAAATAACAAACCAAGAAATCGTTCATTTACCTTGCAATTCATTACATACTAACCACATTATTGCAAGAATTTTATTAGCAAGTTTGTAAATGATAATAATTGGAAGCTCGAGATGTACAGTAATTTTGAGTCTCTTTTGTAAATTGTTTTAGTCTTACGATTACTAGCCTTAAGTTTTTCTTAAGACTTTCTTTCTCTACTTTTTGCTTATTCCAAGCTTATTTAGATGGCTTACTTTCTACTTTTACATTTTCAGTGTCACTAATCTGCTTTTAAGCATTTTAGCATCAATATATAATTTTTGTTTAGAACTTATGATTGACTGCTTTATTATCATAATTTTGGTTTTTTCGGTTTTATTACTTTGTTGTATAATTTTTCAGCATTATTATTTGAAACAATAATATTTATCCTGATGCAATAGCTATCGAAAGTCCATTTCTTTGTAAAACCAATATATTATCTGTCTAAATTCAAAAATTACTCGAATTTCCATTGCAATTCGATACTTAATGGTATGATTAATATGCTTTATTGTAACTTTCTAGAGCGTAAAAATAAATCAGTCTGCAAACATTTTTTGCTGCTCAATCACTGCAGTAATCAAAATCAAAGTTTTTTAAAGTAATTACAAGAATAAAAAAATATATTAAAATATATTTAAGCTTTTTTAATATTGCATCCAAATTACCATTTTTTTTTTTGATTTGGGTAAGAAAGCATGATCTGGTTTTGATCTTCCAAACTTTTTAAATTTCGAATAAATCTGATCTCATTGTCTTTGAAAATTAAAACTATGTAACTAGACCCTCCTATGCAAAGTGAATTGAATGATATTGGGTAAGAAACTATGTGAGAAATTAATCTCCAAATAGTGGCTATTTTTAGCTTGTTATTAGTATGAATCCCGGTTTACAATGCTCCTCAGATTAGCATTCTCATTTTTTTTAATAAATTATTTTCCAGCAGTAAATTAGGCTTAATTTTCAATCAAGAAAATAGATGGTGCAAACTGCCTCTTTAGTATGCTTCTTTTAGTAAATTTTTACTGAA